GATGGCAGAAGCATGTGGAGGAGGAGGTTGTTTTAATGGTGCACTAGAAGCAGAACCCAAGTTTCCCCAGAGCATGGAATGCATTTTTCTATTAGCCACTTTTTGTTTTTATTTTATATTTCTGTGTCTAGTCTTTCTCTTTCACTTGTTTTTCCTTGAGACAGGCTCTGGCCTTAAACTTATCATTCTACTTCAGCCTCGCAGCTCTGTCTTATTTCTAAGGTTTCCTAACCAAGTTTTTTGGTTTCTCATAAACAATAGGACAAGATGAGCAACAAACATGATCATTCATAGCTACATAAAATCATGTTCTGTTTTGTCAGTTGAGATTTTATTTTAGGTAAGAACACTGGCTTCCCAATTATTTGCCATATGAAGAAATTTAAGAACTTTTAATTTAGAATGTTAGCTCCTAGGAGGATAGAAAATACTCTCTTTAGTATTTGGCAAATATCAAACCACACTGTCATCACTAGCCAATAATTTCTAATGACCTATCTGGTACATTGTAAAAATGTACAGACTTTATAATGCATACATAGTACATTCTAACTTCTCTGTCTACTTCAATCTGTGGCAAAACTTGAACACCTCTTTCTGTTACAATTCCTGACAACAATTGATTTTTCTTGAAGAGAAATTTTTCACTGAATTTGATTTACGTTTTTTAATTTGCGTGTGAATAATTTTTCTGAATGTTGTGTGAGACCTGTGGGTTTTGTGTGTAAACTAGTGTTAACTGTCCCTACTCTGGACAAAAACATAATCACACATCAGTTAAATCCTACAAAGGAAGTACAGGAAAGCTATTTAATTATGTGTTTATCCTGGATAATTAAGGCTGCATAAAAGTCCTCAGAATTCTGACCAAGTACAATTTACTACTTCTTGGGCATGCATCCGGTTACAGGTAGAAAATAGGGTTACAATAAAAAGTACTGAGTGATGAATCCAGTGGTCAGTGTACAACACCAGGAATGTGCTTAATGCAAGGAGGTACTTTGAAATAAAGCCCTTGAGATAAATAGAATTATAAGCCTATTACCTACCAAAGAAGATAGGGATGTGAATTCACTTACACCTCTTTCCTAAGACACAGAGAAGCTGCTGTGGCTCAAAGAAGCAGAGCACTAGCCTTGAGCACAAAAGTTCAGAGACAGTGCCCAGGCCCTGTGTTCAAGCCCCATTACTGGCATAAACAAACAAAGAAATAAATATATAAATTGCTATTCTCCAGCATTCATCACAATGATAAGTAACTAATACAACTGTAAACATAAATAAAATCACTTTAAGTACTTCAGACTCTCATGAGTACCTAAATATTCCTGTGATCTATTTGTCAATTTCTCACATACAACATACTATTCCCCATCTTCTTTCTACTCTAGCATCATTTTCCAATTACTCTAAGCAAATCAGAATCATGTTCAATATGAGTATAATTTGTAATATTTCTGGAAACAGCTTTCTTTTTATCTGACCCTTAACAACTTGCTTTTAATCTGACTTTAAACAGCTTGCTTTTCATCATCATCTATCATTTACAGTTCCAGATTAGAGATATGTTTTATGTCTCTGTGTCTCTCTTCATCCATTCTCAGTTCATTGCGTCCACTCAGGTAGAGTTTAAATACACTCAGGATTTATGAATCAGGAAATGGGGGCAACTGGATGAGTGTAAGAGAGTAGGGAGAATGGGATGATATCTCAGGGAGAATGTACAGGGTCCTAAATTGGACATAAAGCCTTTTTTATACTTTATTTTTCATTAGTTCTTATCTAGATCTACCTCATGGGAGCTCTGCATATCCACTACCTTCTTCAAATCACCAAGGTCAAATAGTCTCCAAAGACTTTTATAGTCTGACTTTATATAGACTACTTCTCTTTGCTTTTATTACTCAGGGTTCAGGGATTTGGGCTTTATAAGATCTAAGTGGCAAAAAAAAGATCCAAGTGGCTATTTGCTTCTTCTGTTTAGTTTCTCCATTCCAAAAGACCATATGTTTGAGGAACTAAAGAATTATTTTACTTCTTTTGTTATTCTTTCCGCTACAATGCCTATTATAACACTGTTACACAGATAGAATAAGCTTAATATTCTTTTAAAAGGACTGAAACAGAGGTACAACTAGAGAGGTTAACACTACTTTTTCATTATGGATGCCAAACACAAAATACATGTATATGTTTTGAGGTAGATTGTTCATACAAGCCAGAGCTGTCAAAATCTTAAAGCTTATAGTCCCTCCCAGCTTGAGAATGGACACGTAAATGTCATCCCATGCTTAATCATTTTCTCTGCATCCCACTGTTTGCCCTCTCTCTGGGCTACAAGAATATAAGAACTTAGGGCTGGGATGGTAGCTCAGTGGTAGAGTGCTTGCCTTGCATGCCTGAGGCCCTGGGTTCGATTCCTCATCACCACATAAGCAAAAAGAAAAAAGCCAGAAGTGGCGCTGTGGCTCAAGTGGTAGAGCGCTAGCCTTGAGCTGAAGAGCTGAGGGACAGCGCCCATGCCCAGAGTTCAGGCCCCACAACCGGACCCAAAAACAAAACAAAACAAAACAAAAGAATATAAGAACTTGGAAGGATTTTCAATAAAATGTCTGTTAGATGTGTGTGAGAGTGAAAGAGAGGGAGGAAGGGAGAGAGAGGGGAGGAGGAGGGAGGGAGGGAGAGAAATGGCAACATGGAACACTCAGCTACTTTAAAATGTATCTTAGAGTTATGCTTTACAGCTGTCCCATGACTTAATCGTTTCTTCTTAAACCATCCAGAGAAATAGTGAAATGTTTATGACTCGTGAAGATTCGTACTATTTAGATAATATTTTCCTCAGTTTCCACAATAATCTGGCATTCAAAATTGGTGCTTATTCAAAGTTATTGTAAATGACACTTGTCATTTATTGTAACAACATGAAATTTTCCTGGAGAAGTAATTCTGTTTCTTCAAGCCCTTTGTGGTTTTTCATACACAAGCAGCTATTCTTTTCCAACTTTCAATTAGAATGACTAATAATGTTTTGTATTTTATCAATTAGATCTTCCTTTCAATTCATATTTCCTCTGTGAGTCATTTAAATGTCCATGGTAACAAGTTATGACATAACAATACACTGTGTTATGTCAGTGGAGGATATATTATGCAGACAAAGTTATAATTTCATATAAATGATTTCAGGAGTTAAAAAATGGAAATGTCTTCTACATCAAAATCAGATGTAGGACAAATATTTTATTGATCCCCAAGCAGTATTCTAGATCAGTTAGGAGTAATTAATAAATATTAATGTCTACCTGTCTGGGGAATGAATCATAAACATCATAATTTCCACTTGATGGAAGAGAAACCCGACAGAAAAGCTAGGAGGGAGTCGGAAAACACAAAGAGGGAGGTTCAAATATACCTGTATTCAACTGAGTTTCCCAAGGAATCCACCTGTGGCCATCATCGTAGTCTAGCCAGAAGTTACCCTAAATGAAGTCAGCAATAAGCCCAACTTCAGTCTACAGAGTCATGAAAGAGATAAAGCTGATGATATTTGTTGTTTGTTTTTTGAGACAGAGTCTCACTCTGCAGCCTAGGCTATTGTCCAGCTCTCCATCTTTCGGTGTCTGCCTCCTGAATACCAAAATTACAGATGTGTGCTACCATACCAGGCTTAACATTTTTTTAGTTTACAAAAATTATAGTGTACATTGGCATATAAATACATATGTACAATGTAAAGTTTTTATATTTATACGCATTGCAAACTAAATCACGCTATCACATCATATATCCTTTTCTGTGATTGTTGGTTTGAGCACTAATTTTTGGAGTAGTTTATTTTACAAAAATAGACAGCTTCAACAATGATTTCTACCTTCCATGACTTCATAAATGCCCCAACCTTCCAGTCCTACAATATCTTCAGTATTATTGAATATTAATTTCCCAGAGAAGGGAACGGTAAGGGTAGAAGGTTCTAGAGAAAAGGAGAAAAGTTGTCTAAAGCCACAGAGGCAGGTACTGAAAGAAAACTTAAACTTCTTGCCAGTTTGGCCCAACAGGAACAACTATATTTGGGCCAACAGTTCAGATGTTCTGTTTTACAGGTCCGAGCCTTCCCTTAGGTGAACCTAAGGTGAGAAAATATGCCATGGAGTACCATGAAGCTAAGGCTGTATCCTCCGTGCTCCCATAGTTATTGGCTTTGACACCCAGTGACTGCACACTTGAACAACAGCATGTGCAACTGGTCCCAAACCAGGAAAAATTCACAAGTCCAGTGTATTGAAATCATGCTCACTTGCTTCTTTACTCATGAGGAGTCAGAAAATCAAAGAGGAAAAGAGGGCTTTTTTTGTATCAGTTTGGATTGCAAGACTGCTGTTTTCTCTATTATCAAGTAAAGCAAACCATTTAAAAATTTTATTGTTTCCTATGTTTTTAAAGCAGAGTTCTTTTTTAAATATAGGGCTATAAGTGTTTTAAAGTAGTATATCTTTTATTAATGTGTATATTCTTTATTTTAAACCAGATTTCTTTTTTTAAAAAAACATAGGCCTATAAGTGTTTTACAAGTAGCATATCTTTTAATATGTACATAATATAAAGAGCTATAATAAAGCATATTAAATATATGAAAATTACTTTATGTAGCATTTTTCATTATTGTGAAAGATAAACCCTCCTCTTTTTGGGACCTAATATTTTGCCATCTATATGCAGCAGTAATAGTTCCCATCCCACTTAATGGCAGCCAGGAGTTCCATTAGAAAAGTTTCTTAGGGGGCTGGGAAGATGGCTCAGTGGTAGAGCACTTGCCTTGCATGCCTGAGGCTCTGGGTTCGATTCCTCAGCACCGCATAAGCAAAAAGAAAAAAGCCGGAAATGGTGCTGTGGCTCAAGTGGTAGAGCGCTAACCTTGAGCTGAAGAGCTGAGGAACAGCGCCCATGCCCAGAGTTCAGGCCCCACGACTGGACCCCCCCCCCAAAAAAAAAGAAAAGAAAAGTTTCTTAGGTAAAATTGTATTTTCTAATAGAAAAAAAGAGGAACAGTGGGAATTTGTTATTATTTAAAATAGCTGCAGAATACATTGCCTACTCTAAATTGAGGTCTTAAAGAGTCTCTCCTATGTTTTTTGAACCCTCAGTTCTAGTAGACATCACAGCCAAAGAGTTCCACACGAAGCGCAATACTTTGATTCCATGTTTTAGGAATGATGCGGATAAACCTGGAGATAATTGGTGGCTTGAAAAAGTTTTTCACATGTCCCTTGGTATTGCTATTTCCTTCGAAAATCTGAAAGGAAAACAAGAGAAAATCTTCAGTGTTAGCACAGGCAATATAGAAGCCATTTTTATCCTTTGAGCTTAAACGGAGGCCACCAAACACCACTATCACAGCGATCCATCTTCAGCTAATTATGAAGTCCAATCCTGGAAGTCCTCTGAGGGCATTTTCATTTCACCAGCAATCCAAGTCCAGGGAAGGAAGAATAAACAAATCTGCTCTAGTTGCAAGACCATCTCTGCTCTTGGCCCTTTGTAGCTAGCTCTGTGGCCTTAAGGATGTAAATTACAACCCTTGGTTCTTCATTTCCTCAGTTGCAAATTGAGGGTGAAAACAGGAGAGAGGACTAAAGATTTAAAGCTGTATTTAAACATAATGACAAGTGTCTGGTAAGTGTCATGGAATGGGAACCAGTGAATCATTTGCTGTTGCTAACACTTAAAATATACCATCTGTGTCTTCTCATTTTCCTTTTGGCACATTAAAAAAATAGAGACAGTTTTATAGTGTTCAATTGTTAATACTTAATTAACTATATTTAAACCTGCTAAAATAACAACAATAACCTAAGACCTTAAAATGAGATCATATGTTTCATTTTCATCACATTTTTTAAACATAGGTAACAATATTTACTACAAAATTTTTGGATAACTGAAAGAATAACCTTCACAAGCAAGAGAAATCAAGATTGTTAAACTAAGTAGCACCATGATAGTGATTACTTGTAATTTCATAAAATATGCAAAGATAAGCAATGTCATACTTGTGAATGGGGACTATGGGGTGAAGTAAATTTAAGCAATTATCTGGTAGAACTAGCACTCATTTTTGAGGCACATGGTTTACATCGTCAGTTAACCTGTTGGGTTTAAGCAAATTCATGTTTTTCATCTCTAGCTAGTTTGTCAAGATTTACACACATACAGCAGAAGGGTTACAGCAGTAACACCCTTCAGACAAGCTGGTGTATGGAGAAATAGAACATGCAGAGAACCAGAGGATTTTTTTAAAAGCGAGAAATGAGTACAAATTCAGTAACTAGGTATTGGGCATTTGATGAAAATTCAGTAAATCTCAGCCCTTTTTCCTGGATGTTTCTGCTTGCTTCAGCTCAATTTCCATATCTGGAATACAAGGCCCATCTCTTTAGCTTCACTGATGGTAGCATTTTTAAGCCACCTAGCATTTTTAAGAGGGACTAGGGAATGTGGTAGCCATTCACCATGTAGAGAAAGATGTTTAATAACAATATATCATTCAAACTTTGTTCAGTCAGGAATAGCAAGTATTGCTAAGGCAATGCCAATATGCTCTGATTTCACAGTAGAAGGTTTTCTAGATGCCTTCACCATCTTTCTCAATCAGAGCTGGTTAAGCCTCACAACATCCTCTGGTATTTTGTCCTCACTATTTCTCAATCAAGGTGGAGAGGTGATGTGCATGTGTGCCAATTCCTGTAGAACCAGGATTAGAAGACTTGAAGAGGTGGTATGTGTCAGTGCAGTTGTCAAAGGAAAGGTAGTAGTACTAGCAGTAGTAGTAGTAGTAATAGTAGTAGTAGTAGTGGTAGTAGTCTTGACATGGTAGTATTCAAATTGCTTTCTCTTGCCAAGAGGGCACCTAGTACCTTGTCCACCATGGAGGATTTCTGCCTGTAAGGTTTCCATTCTACACCCTGGTCGCTGTAGTGGATGCTGTAGCTCTTCACATACATCTCAGAGGACAGAGATTTGCAGCCCTGTGTGACAATGGCAGTTACCTTCTTGATTTTCTGTAGATCAATTTGTAACCATTGTTTGTTGTTGTTTGCCTAGCAAAATGATATAAAGCAAATGGACATGGAAAATGTTAGTATTGTTGCTGTTTTGGGAGATTAAGTATAGTGCACAGAGTTTGGGATTTCTTTTGACCTCCTCCCTTAGGATTTATTTTTTGTCTTATAGATGCCTCCCCTATTTCTTCTTGATTGTTGCCACAACATGTGTATACATTTCTATTGATATATTTCATACTTTATACAGTAATTATTTGTTTACTTTTTGGCATCCTTGCTTCTTGGTCTTCACAACAAAGGCACAAACTGGTGCTCAATAAGTAATTGTTGAATAAATAAGTAAATGAATTTTACTTGAGAAAATTGCTAAATTATCTTTCTTCCTTCCTTCTTTCTTTCCTTCCTTCCTTCCCTCCCTGCCTCTTTTCTTCCTTCTTTCTTTCCTTCCTTCCTTCTTTCTTTTCTTTTGCCACTATGGAGGTTTGAGCTCTCACATGACTTTTTTGCTCATGGCCAGTGCTCTACCACTTGAGCCATGCTTCCAGTTCTATCTAAATATTTTCTCAAGCGAGTTTGTTAAAGTACTATGATGATATTTCTGCAAGGTGACCCAGAAAGGAATCTGATAGTATCATCTCTAATGTATAGTGCCCTGTCTAATGCATTTTAGAAAAGCCCAACTTTTCTTTCCACTCTTAATGTGAAATACAAAAGAGTACAATTTCTTATTTTCTAGTATTTCATATAAATGTAATACTTGAGAGACTTAATAAAACTACAAAAAGGAAAGGATAGGAGACAAGGTAATTATCTCTAAAGCCACAATGAACCTCCTTTGTATAATTAATTTATGATCAAAGACCTATCATATTTTGTAATAAATATTTGAAGAAGGAAAGTTGATGACAGATTGTATTTTGATGTAATCTGAGATCAATCTTCACCTTTTGGAATTTTTAGAATTTTCTCAACATCATTCATATTTGTGAGTACATGTATATATATTTATTTGAAGTTTGAAGACAAGATCTGGAGTTATATAGAGAATTCAGGGAATTGGAGCATCTATCTACCTTAGTGGACAGAGACAAGAGGATTAAGTAGGGAATTGGAATTTAGTCAGCTAAAGGAAACACGAAGTTACCTACTACATTCTGGTTCCAACATCAGTTGGAACATGAAACAAAGATGAATCAACTATTAACTGTTACCCTAAAATTACATAACTTTAAATGATCTTAGTTGCTCAATGATTTACTATCAGGAGCAATATAATTCTCGGGTGATTTACTATCAGGAGCAATATAATTCTCGGGGAGCTGTTTAACTTAGATCATGGTTCTATAATCCATGCCTCTGATTGTCTCCAGAACTGTCACAGTGTTTTTAAAAATTGTAAAAAAGTTTAAATGGTACACTTAAGAAAATGAAAAATACTGGCTAAATTGTGAGGTATGTTGTGAATCTAAGTTATTTGCCTATCACTACTGTTACCTAATCAAGAAATGGCAAACTAAGACTGTGCTCATGCATTTACCAATTTTTTAGGGACACTTTCGTGATTCCATGGCAGAACTGAGTAGTTATGAAAGGCTCTTTGGCCTGACAAACCTAAAATACTTACTAGCTAGCTCTTTGCAGTCAAACATTGTACTTTTTGTCTAGACCAAGAATTACAGAGATGATAAATGACTTTTTTTCTAAAGCAAAGCTAGAATTAAAGCTGTGGATTCAGCAAACATCTAGATTTTTAGATTTAGCGTTTTAATCTGCAGAGAGGGGAGATGTCCCTCCTGTTTCCAAGATCTTCTGTGTGCCCTGCGATGGTAGTCTTTTTTTCCCCCTAAAGGGCTCAAGAGTCTATGTCACCTTAGCTTGCCAGGCGTTCACACGGCCCTGGGCATTAAGACGAGCACGAAACGGTTCCCAGTAATCTCCCCACCAAGATTTCTTAAATGAGGAAGCTGTAATTTGCTTGTTTTCTATTTGTCCACTTTCCATACCCAGTGGTGTAGAACATCCTGTCAAGAGAAAAGCCACCATTCATTACACAGCATTAATATTCCCTGCATGGCACTGTAGGGTTTGTAGAGGAGACAAAAATATTATTACCACATAAGAGTAACGCATGTGTTGAATCCAAGGGCAAATCTGCCATCAGGCTGTGAATTTTTGTTAGTTTTGAAACAAGGTCTTGCTGTGTAGCCCAGGGTGGTCTCAAACTGACTATCTGTGTGCCTCCACCTCTTGAGTTCTGAGATTATAGGCCCATACCACTACACTTGCCTGACTGTATTTTTAATGTATTTTATAATCTGTTTCCCATTGTGAGCACAAAATTGCCCTGCAATAACTTCCTTAACACAAGCAAGGAGAACAGGGAATTGAATTTAAAGTCAGCTACTATGATACCAAAGACCACGTCCTAAATATGTGTACTCACTTGTGTTTTCCAGAATGTCATGGGCCTGTCAGTCTTTGCTTCCAGTAGACAGCACTCTAAACAATCCATATATGATCATGTGCTGTAAATGGCATTTCAGATAATGACAGGCCATCGATGTGACAATGATGCCAGAATATTATAATAGATTCTCCAAATTCCTATTGCCTATTGATGAGGTCATAGTTTTCTTAATTTTATAGCATAGCCCATAACTCACATATGTAGTGATGCTGGTATAAATAAACCTCCATCACTGATGGGTGTGTAAAAGTATATGGCACCTAATTATGTATAACAAGCAATCCCTTATGGTAAACCACAATGTTATAGTTTACTGTATTTACTATACTTTTGATCATCTGGTCAGAAGGTACTCCTATTTCTACAAGAAGTTTCCGATAGTAGAGTATGTGAATTTATACTGGCAGTAACTCCACATACACTGGCAGTAACTGTGGTTCTCAATTGTATCAGGAGACCACATGGAATGACTGGCCCATATGTCTATGTGACCGCTCTGTGATGTCTTCGCAATGACTTTTCTCATGGCCTATCCCCATTGTTAAGGAATGTATGGATATATATATAAATTTTCTTTTTCTTCTCCTAATACAAGCTTCAAAAAGATACAATTGATTTTTAGTAGTCACTATTTAGTATTTTCCCGTCAATGCCTTATGTCTGATTCATGCATGCTTTGGAATTTTGCCAAGGCATAGTCTGAATATCTTAAGCAGCAAGAATACCCATTAGTGTGAGAAACATAGCTAGTGAGCCCAACAAGCTGCTCATCTCTGTGATCCTTTTTTCTCATAATAAATACACAGAAATTTTCTTGAAGTGATACCTTGCTTTTTCTGTGATAGGAAAACAAACACTCAAAAGAAATACTGCTAATGTATCAAGAAAGTGAAAAAAGTAATGTTTCTTGTATAGAGGAAGTGATGTTTTAAATAAACAGAGATGAACACCACATTTTTAATTAGCTTGACTCTATAATTGAGCAAAGCTATCATTTATACCACATATATTATAGAAGTAAAAGTATGTGGTTTACGGAACTATTTCAAGGGGTACTCCTGCCTGCGAAAGAATTGCATTTTATGTAGGAAGTACTATGTAAATTACTATCTAGATATTAGCAAAATGCCTATATCAATATAACTAATGAATGTCAGGGGTATATTATACCTTAATCTGTTTTGATAAGAAATTGATTCCAAGTGTTGGTAACTTTCTCCCTTAATTAAAATATTGTAACTTCTCAATAGGGTGACAGTGTGGCAAGTTTCCCATGTCACTGCATAATGACCCTTGTACCCCCTCAGTCTTTGAGCACCTGCTGCAGCGTGGACCAAATTTTGGGCCATTTCTTCATGCTCTTTTATCTCAAAATGTTAGACAGTTAAAAAAAAATAAGTGTGCTTTTACATGAGGAATCCTGAAAAGCATTACTTTAAGAGTTAGAACAGCCGGCTGCGGTGGCTCACGCCTGTAATCCTAGCTACTCAAGAGGCTGAGATCTGAGGATCGCAGTTCAAACCAGCCTGGGCAGAAAAGTCCTTGAGACTCTTATCTCCAATTACCCACTAGAAAACCGGAAGTGGTGCTGTGGTTCGCCTTGAGCTGAAGAGCGCAGGGACAGCACCCAGGCCCAGAGTTCAAGCCCCACGACCAACAAAAAAGAGAGAGAGAACAGCCAGGCAGCAGTGGCTCACGCCTGTAATCCTAGTTACTCAGGAGGCTGAGATCTGAGGATCACAGTTCAAAGCCAGCCCGGGCAGGAAAGTCTGTGAGATTCTTATTGCCAATAAAATACCAGAAAACTGGAAGTGGCCCTGTGGCTCAAGGGGTAGAGCCTTTGCCTGGAGCTGAAGAGTGCAGTTACAGTGCCCAGGCCTAGAGTTCAAAAAAAAAAAAGGAGTTATAGCAAATAAATTGATATGACTTTTCAACAGCTTCACTGTATATAGTACAATTTTATTTTGACTATTAGTATCTAGATTTTATGTCTATCATAGGTCATATTATATTCCATGAAATACAGCAGCTTACAAGTTGCTATGTAGCATACAAAGAAAATACAGAGCACAATCGTGGTACCAGGAAGTTGGAAAGCAGATTCAAATGTCAAATTATTCACTGAACACCAAAGCTATGCCAGAAATCTTTCAAGGTGTTTCACTGCGTTATAGCCTGGCTAACCTGGAGGACTTTTAAGGCATCAAGGCCTTGTTTGACTCTCAGGCAGCTCTTGTTGAAAATGTGCAACCAAAGCACTTCCTGGCAAGCCATGTGGGCATCATTTATGGAGATGTTGCCCGCTTTCTGGTTGGTAGAACCAGTCTTAGTCTAGATCACACTGAGAGTTCACCTGAGTGAAGTCTGGGTTTGCAAGGATTTGGGGGAGCATTCCAAGTTACAAGAGATCTAAGAATTCTACTTCTTCTCCCACACCTTCCAAACCTTCAGTCTCAGAATGTTAGTGAGAAGATAATGCATCTTTGTTCCTTACCATTAACCTCACAGCCTTGCAGCTCCAATCGCAGGGTAGGTCTGTTATAGGACTTTGTTGGAGAGATCCTAATATATCTAGCCACAATAGGTGGGTCAAATTGATTCTCTTTTATTGTAGAAGCATCTGAATTGCCATCAAAATACTAGAAGAAAAGAGGAAAGCAAAGTTATGATTCTCTTTAAAGTGATTTTTATTTTAGGACTATGTCTGATTTAACATTGCAAATATTGTTTTCGTGGAGCCTGAATCAAATCAGTTTAATCTTAAAATATATTTGAGATTACTTCCAGGAAGATGAAGTAAATTCACTGTAGTCTGTTCCTGCTGCTCATAGCAAAGCAAAACAAAAGCCAAGAAGACTGAAAGGTAGAGACAAGTAAGCAGACTGCTAGGGTTCACAGAACCCAAGGGATGACATGGCCTTGAGTTCCCTAGGTTTTTTTTTCTTTTTGCCATTTGTATTCAGATTTTGGAGATGAAGAAACTAGCAACCCGAAACCACCAATGGTACCCATTTTGTACTGCTCCAAACGAGAGCCTATTTTCATTAGCTAGAGAAATCAAGGAAAGGCAGCTTTGTAAGACAGAAAAGTTTAGACAATAAATGTTCGATACTAGCCAAACATTACAGAAAGTAAAGACTCCCTCACTGCAGTAAAGACTGAATGAGGAGCCTAGAGTTTTAGGTTCTTGAGACTGAGGAGGTACCTTCATACCCTGCTTGGGGTCATGTGAGAGAAAACCAAAATAGGAAGCCAGAGCTTCAGCCTCTCTACCTCTATCCCCCAGAGAGGCTCCCTGCAGTGCCAGTGGACACCACTGGGGAGTTTCCAGCAACAGAGAGCTTCCAACGGAAGGTGGGGGGGGCCTGGCCTTTGGACTCTATCTGGCGATCACCAGCTGTGCCCCCTACCCTTTCTGTGCCAGAGCAGTATCAGAAAACACCAGCTAAAGTAGGAAGTGCAAACATCAGTAAGATTGAAAGCACAAACAGCAGAGAAAAATCAATGAAAGCGTTGATCCTTAGAAAAGAGAAAAATGAATCAACAAATCTGTTGCAAACGTGGCACAAAATGAGGAGGTAAAAATTATACTGTTGGAGGTGTCACTACCAACCTTGATGACCTCTGAAAGTCAAGGGTGACAGATACTATAAAGCCCACACTGGTGATGTGACAAGTTAAGGAAACATGTTAATTAACTGAAGACACTTAAAGTGGATTGGGGATCTAGCCTTGTGATATGTCACTTGCCTAGTGTGTTCCCAAGGGTCCTGTTCAGTCCCCAGGAGTGCTAGAAAATCATAAGGCACCAAATATAAACAGATAATTTGAGTAACACTATAAGCATGAAATGTACTTTATAATTTAAAAACTATCCCTTGCCCTAAAAATATTTCCAGGTGCAAACGGTTTTGCTGGTGATTTTTGGCAAAGAACACTAACTATAGAAACCTCTTCCAAAACAGAGATTAGAAGAGCATGCTTATCAATTTATGAGTCTAGTACAACTGTGATATCAAAAACAGTACCAAGCCGTACTCAAAATATTCACTGATATCTCTCACTAACATAGATGTAAAAATCTTCAAGCTATAGATTTTATGGCTGTCTGTATTTTCTTTTGCAATACTGATTATTCAGGACCATAATTTAAGATGTTCATGGTTTTAAGATAAATTTAAATAATTTATTATTAGAAAATCCTTTGGCTGGAGATGTGGCTAAGCAAATGCTAACCCCTAAATCAAACCCTGCTATCTTTTTCTTTTACTTTTTTTTTTGCCAGACTTGGATTTGAACTCTGGGCCTGGGTGCTGTTCCTGAGCTCCTTTTGCTCAAAGCCAGTGCTCTACCACTTGAGCCACAGTGCTACTTCTTCATAGTTTATTGAAGATAAGAGTCTTACAGACTTTTCTGCCTGGGCTGGCTTCAAACCATGATCCTCAGATCTCAGGCTCCTGAGTAGCTAGGATTACAGGTGTGAGCCATTATTAAAAAATAATCTAAAAACAATTCATCTCCAACACTGATAAAGGAGAGGTAATGATAATGTAGACAAATAGTAATGCTAATGTAGAAAAATAGTAAATAGAAAGTGATTTATATGAAATGTAAAGGGAGACAAATTCAAAGTCATTCATGGTAAATTGGTAGCCAGACTCGTTGATTTCTATTTTGCCTTGGAGAAGGGAAAAGAAGAGCGAGGGCTCTTGGCTGAGCCTATAAGACACTAAGCAGGTATTATCATTCTGCAACGTGACCTCAAAATTAGTTTGAGAAGCCCACAGCATCAGAACACCACTGATGTTATCTCTTGTTCAAGCACATCAAAATTAATAACAAAATAAGATGTAGTAAAAATCTTTTTTTTTCTGGTCCTGGGGCTTGAATTCTGGGCCTGGATGCTGTCCCTGAGCTTCTTTCGCTCAAGACAAGGACTCTACCACTTGAACCGCAGTGCCACTTCTGACTTTTTATTTTTAGTTTATTGGAGATAAGAGTCTCATGGAGTTTTTTGCCTGGGCTGGCTTTGAACCATGACCCTCAGACCTCAGCCTCCTGAGTTGCTAGGATCACAGGTGTGAGCCACCAGCAACTGACATAAAATCAATTTGTTTTGGGGGGGGTCCAGTTGTAGGGCCTGAACTCTGGGCTTGGGTGCTGTCCCTCAGCTCTTCAGCTCAAGGCTAGCGCTCTACCACTTGAGCCACAGTGCCACTTCCGGCTTTTTTCCTTTTTGCTTATGTGGTGCTGAGGAATCGAACCCAGGGCTTCATACATGCAAGGCAAGCGCTCTACCACTGAGCCACCTTCCAGGCCCGTAAAATCAATTTTTAATATGAGCTTTTTGGGTAAGATGCGGCCGTATGTTGTTGGTTTGTCTGGATGCTTGATTTGATGATAAGGTGACTTTTTTCAAGTTTGAGGGATTTTTGAAGGTTGTTTTTTTTTTAATAGTACACAAGCCACGTTTCCTCATAAGACCCTTCAAAAGCCATGCACATTCACATTCAGAAATATACTTTTAAAAGGACACAGTCACAGTGACCCTGGAGTGACCTTGCGATTCAGACAGAAATGTGTACACAGACCATCACGTTCTTCGTGCTGTTCCCCTTGAAGATCTGCCAGTTGGTTTGGTCAGCGCTGTAAGCCACAGAGAACTCTGTGGTATAGCAGGACTTTAGGTAGTGTTTAGCACCTTGAGTTTGTATCCCCGTGATTACAACTTCCCTCTGCAGATCCACCTGCAATAGAGTAAGACCAGTAAACAGAACTATCTTTTTCAGTGAGTCACATTCTGCCATAACTCAGGGCATATTTCTTTAAAAAGGCAATGACTAAAGTCTCCCTGAACTTATAAGATGGCTAGATGTGCCCCATACTTGAGCACAGTCTCCAGACTTGAAATCCAGATCAGCCTCTACCTAGTTGTATAGAACTTTGACAAGTTGGTTCATATCTCTCAGTTTTTCCTCTGTGCAGTACTTCTTGTGCCACACTGAAAGGTTTGTTTTGGAAAATATCTTAGCACCTAGCTATTGTGATTTCCTATAATAATATTATAAAAACAAGAAGACCTTACTAAATCACTGTCACTTTTATCATAATAGCAGTAAATAAGACATACCTGGATCCAAGGTTTAGAGGAAATTCCTGTTGGAATTTTTTCTATACTCCAAGCATTATATGACCCACCGTTGTTTAATCTTGCTAATTTGGGCTCCCAATAACCTAAATTCAAAGAGAGAAAAACTATTCTGAACTTAAAAAAAAACAGACAATTAATAATTTCTCAAGGGAATCAGGTCCTTGGCCAGGCATGGTGGTACACACCTGTAATCCCAGCACCTGGGAGGCTAAAGTAGGAAGATTGCAAGTTGAAGGCCAATCTAGGCTACGTAGTGAGATCTTGTCTCAGAAAACATAAAGGAAGACCAACTTCTTAGAGAAAAAGAGGCTGTGTTGTAGTTAGGAGACCAGACAGTTGACATAAGCTTTGACTACCAAGTCAACCTTTGATGAGGAAATCCTGGCTTCAGGCCTCTGCATGGTTGACTGCCAACCACCACCCATCTCTTCCCGCACACAGGTCATGCTTGTCTTCTCTCAGGTCGGTTTGGCTGCTGTTGAATATTTCTGCCTAACAGGAAGCTACGAGACGGCTGTGGAGGAGCCTCGTGATCCTCTCCATCACAGCCCCTTGACCTCCGGAAGGGATTTGAGGCACACATACAGTGGGCGATCAATTAAGTTTCATGAATAGGTGAACAGTTGGCACAGGCTAAAGGCTATATTATTGGGGACCTTAGCTCCTGGTGATTAAACCCTGTGAATCTTGCTGGAGCATTAGATGTGTGATCAAATCCAGAAAAGATAAAGGGACCGAAAATGCGCACATGGTCATAAAAGTAAGCTACCGACTTCCTAGCAGCCCTCTGGTAGAGACCAGCCTGTATGTGGAGATATCAGTGGTGTGTACTTCCCAGGAAAATGACCCTTTGGGGATAGTAAATGTAAACTAATAGGAGAGATGAAAGCAAACAGGCTTTTAGCTCCTGCCACAGGTCAGCTTCCATTCCCAGATGGGCACCATCAAGGGAGCTTTTTCACTATGTTTTGTTAAAAACAAAAAAGCTGAGAGAGAGTTGACCCATACACAAAGTTGTCACAAATTAGTAAACTTCACAAACTGTCAAGTTATCATTACCAGGCTATGATGCCACTACTTACTCAGATACTCAGAAGCCTTGATCTGTGAGTCAGCTATCATACCAGTACTTAGCCCCAGGGGTATTTTACATCCTGTGAAAAATGGGAGAAAGATTTTTGCTTAGAAAATACATGTGAAGTAGGATTTTTTTAAAAAGCAACCTCTATGGCTAGACGTTATACCTCTGTTAGATAAGGAATCAGATATTTCTATCTGTTGTGTGTGGCAATGACTTACACATGTCTGGTTATAAAAAGGTAGTGAGCATTCTAGTAAGAATGGAGTTTTAACTAAAATGGTGCCAATCCAGAGGGAAAAACCACTGGGAAGCTGAAATGAAATTGATTTGAAAATTGATTTTGATGTGCTTGTATTGTAAAACAAACTATTTGACATTGGGCACTATTCTTCATAAAACCATGTGTGCATGCAGAAGTTGGAAAGCTAGCTATATCTTATCAAGATACCTCAATGTGAGCACAGTGCCTGATATTCAATATGTACGGAGCAAAGGCTTTATAGGGGGAAGGACAGGTGGAAGCTGTGTTTCTTGTATCCAGAAATGCCAAGTTCAGTGACTTCCTCATTTATTGTTGATTCCTACTACCCATTCCTCCTCTACCATAGGAAACTGGAGAGCCTCTGAGATGCCCCTTCCACTGGATTGTAATCCACGAGGAAGAATGCTTTCTACACTTTCCAAAGAGGAATGCTTTTACACTGAACTGTAGAGTTTAAGTTTTCTAGATGACTGCCGTGTTGTTAGTATAATCAGACTTTGGGTCAAAATAAAATAACTATGACTACAAATTATGCCTCTGTCGCATCACAGTTACCAGAGTGAGTTTTTGCAGTTTAAAAGCATCAGGCTGACTCCTGTTGATACCCGTCATGTGAATGATACCCGTCATGTGAATGATACCTTTGTCTATGATGAGAAATGGTGTTTGCATTCCTGCTCTCTGGTTTTCTCCGACCTCTGTGTCTAGAAGCCACCAGCCAGCTTTTGATGCCTTCATTTCAAGAGTTTTAAATGAACCTAAAAATACCAGTAAGGACAAAATTACATACAAAAAATTAAAAGTTAGTATGCTAATGGCTCTCTAAGAATCTTAAAAATCCCTGAATCACAAGAGACTTTAGAGTACTTTTGAAAAGGTATGCAATTCTCATGGGGAAGGACTAAAGATAAAATAGATTCTAAAAAACACAAATTAATAAAAACAAATCACTACATGATTTTTTAAAATCTGCCACCTGTCACTTAAAAGACATTATTATTTAAATGTAATGTTACAAGCTAACAGACACAATAAAACTCATCATCTGACACTGACTATATTGTGTCTCTTCCTCGCTCCATCTTGCGTTATTATATGCAAAAATTCAACATAAACTCCTTATAGTTTCAAATTTTCTTGAAAGCTTAGATATTTGCATAGATATTTACATAAATTGTTTCAGAAAATCACAGGAAAAACGTGAATGCTAAAATTTTTGGCCTTTACCAATTAACACTGTACTTAAATTCTGTTGAGTACCATTTGAGACTATATATTGTGAATGAAAATTACTAGCCAAGGGTCCTCCTCCTCAGATGCACTGAAGGAAATCTGTAGTTTTCCTCTCTCCAGTCAGAAATTTCACTTTGGGGGTCTGGATGAGATAGTGCATTTTAGCTTCTCAGTCAACCAGTCTCGCTGTCTGGCTCCTGTGAAGGAAGCCTCATCGACTAATACGTGGTGAAAAGATGAGAGGAATTTAAACTGGTCCTTTTTGTCTCTGATCTTAACAGAGCCATCCTTTCTAGGTTTAGTAGGGAGTCACTGGTATATAAAAACGCAACAAGTTTTCCCTCCTCACCTGCACTTGTCAATCCAACCCGTTTGAACTTCTGTGCCCTTCTTGAGTCCTGTCAAGGAACTGCCTTTTACTAAGTCCTTAGCATGTGTGGAAGCATGGCTACTTGTTAAAAATGCAGAACCCAGTGGGGCCTTTGTGGCTCACCTTAGAATGCTCAACTACTCAAGAGGTTGAGATCTGAGGATCGCAGTTCAAAGCCAGCCCTGGCAGGCAAGTCCGTGAGCAGAAAGCCAGAAAGGAAGCTGTGGCTCACAGTGGTAAGGTGATACTTGTGAGCACAGAAGCTCAGAGACAGGGTCCAGGCCCCCTCAGGTCAAGCTCCAGGACTAGCACACGTATAAAATGCAGAATCCTGGAAAATTGGGCTAAAATCTACCTCTTCAAAGTCTCTGAGAGCAAAATCTCCACTTCTACCATCTGCATTTTAACCATCTTTTTAGATTTTGAGTGACATCTTACACTCACAGTCCCATTCTCACACCCATTATACAAGCAGGTTCACCTACAAACAGCTCACTAGTGTATTAGCATCCTTTCTGATGATTGAAGTTTTTTCCACATTAAAACTTCCAACTACCTTTGCTATTATTTACTTTTCCAATCATTAAAAAGAAAACCTTTTCTCTCCAAGTAGCCTCATGAATCAATTAAGATTATGAGTCCTGGAGTCACCAACCCAAAACCAGGGTGACAGAGCCGGGAGACCTAGGAATCCATAAAAACTAGGTAAGTTTTGAGCCTCCCTCCCCAAAGGAAAAAACAAAAAACAACAAACTTCTGCTGCATGAGTCCTCTGTGATTAATTTTCTCATCTGCTGGAGACCTGATCCGTGGTTTGGAGAAACCACAGGACACATAGCTGAACCACATATTCAATTTGTGTAGTGCCACATACAGTTTACATTAGCTGACTTTTTTTTTTGACAATTTTGGTGTGTGTCTTTGCCCAGTATTGTTCCAGAATCCTGTGTTCTTGGAGCACAAGGAGATAATGAGAAGGAGTTAGATGCCCTATCCTGCTATTCCTTAGCAGGGAACTCTTCCATTGCCCACATCTTTACCGGGTAGAAGGGGCCAGACCCCTAGCTGGTGCTGTTGAGTGCCATTTTCCAGCAGGGTTTGGCCATGGAAGTGAACCACATGAATGTCTTGGGAACCACCCATGTTTAGCAGGTACAGTCTCACCCACTCTTGCTCGTACATTCTCAGGCCAGGCAAGTGGAAGATCCTCCCATTAATAGCTGCAAGGAGAGAGTGGCAGTCAGTCAAAGACCTGTCTACACCAGGAAGAGGCAGGTCACGAAATAGAGGGCAGTGACTCACCACCCAGCTTTCCCAGCAGGTTGGCGTTCCCAGGCCCACCCCGGCTTAGAAAGGGCTTCCTACACACCCTGAGACCAGTGAGAGGATGAAACAGAACCTCCTGCCCCACTCTTGTCGCTCTGCAGTGGCCTACAGAAATGTGGTGTGCTCACTTCCTCTCTGTGTACTTCAGACTTCATCCTTCTCCTGACCAGTGCTTTTTCCCATTTACCCTTCACACTAATAGGGTCAATTTTCTTATGCTGCACAAAGATGAAGACAAGGATGACAAACTCCAGGGTGAGAATAAGTAAAGGACTATGCTTGCTCTCATCCAAAGACCTAAATTTAGAGATGTTTCACATCAGTTTAGGAAGATGGACCTTGTCTTGGATGTACTCACCAGCCATAGGAAATCATGTTTATTTTTTTTCGTTGGAATGATTGTACTTCTACCTCCTTCTCAGCTTAGATGCCTAGGAGTTTCGGGCTATGTCCAATCTCTCCTTAGTATATTTTTGTTGGTATAGTGACCTTGACCTCATGATCCTCCTGTTTAAGGCTCCCAAGTGTTAGGATTATAGGCATGTGCTAACATGCCCAGATGAAATGCATAACATTTGTGCGTGTGAAAGCATTTTATGAACTTAATCACCTAAAAATAGTTTTCATCCTACAGCTTAGCACTACTAAACATGTAACTGAAACAGAAAGGACATTTTTTTCTTCTTAAAGAAATAGCTGTAGAATTGAAAGAATCAGGCAAGGGAATTTTTGAATGGGGAGGAGACAAGCTCATTTTAGCACCTCGAAAATTACATCAGGTACGAGTGTCTCAGTTTCTGCTTAAGAAACAGATCTCAGAAGAGTGATTATTAGATCAGCATTGTTGAGCTGTTACATCAGGATACTGAAGTGAAGACTGTCAACATAATAGGTGTTCAGTAACCATTTGAGAAATTGTGATGGACGATAAGAATCGCTTATTTGTACATTATTTCACTTCTTTCCTGAGAACATCCTGCAAAGGCCAGCCACTGTGCTCAGTAAGGGCTGGGGACTCAGAAGGTCTGCTTTTCACATACCCTAATAAGTGCTTGTTGCCTGAATCACCAAATCACAAGGGTTTCCACTGAAGCCATACTGGATTCTTTGAGGAAATCAGGAAGCAGCACTTAGTGGGCCCTCAGCAAGTTTAAGAGCACAGCAGAAGACAAGTGTGTCTGGGTCTGCAGCCTGGCCTTCCCTGCCGGACTGGGAGGGTATCCAAAGCATGCATGCCCTACTCCTTCCAGTAGGCAAATTGGCCAAGGAGTAGAGACGGTAGAAGAGGCAAAGAAAGGAGGGAATGGGAAACAAAGAGAGAAGAGAAGAGGAGGGGAGAAGAGAGGAAAGGGGAGGGGAGCAGAAAGGAGAAGGAAAGAAGAGGGAACAAGTAAGGGGAGGAGAGAAGGGAGAGGAGTGGAGTGAGAAAGAGAAGAGAAGAGAGCTATGCTTGCAGTCTGTTGGGTGGCTGTTTCTCAATCAATTTGGCTTAATAGAATCCTTTTAGTGTTTGTATTTTGTAAATGTTTTGACCTTTTGTGATAAACAAATCCATTCTTGGCAGGTGGGGATTTAAAGCCTATATTTTCACTCAGAGGTGAAGAATAGAATAGAATAAGTATAGCACAAGCATGCAAATGGTAGAAGAGGGAGAATGTACCTTCTTTGGCTTGATGGCTGGTGGAGGGTGTCTTGGATTAGACTATGATGTACAATGTTGTTTATTTCTTTTTTTCCTTAGCCACTAGCCCCTTTCTCCTTTTCCATTGCCTGAGTGATCCATGACCCAAAGCACAGGCTCTCACTTTCCTGGGACCCCTGAACAGCCATCTGAATTTATCAGTCTTAAATTTTTTTCCCTAATTTCCACCCATTGTTCCTTTTTCTCTAGGGCTGTTTGCTATCTAGTTGCCAATTTACACGTCAAATGCCTGAATGGATTTCAAAATGGGAATATTTTCTCCAGAGTGATCATCTAATTGCTCTCTTGCTCTCCTCTCCTTCTTTCCCTATCTCTGGCATGGGCACTGCCTGGTAGCAGCTGAGAACTAGAACCATTATAATCACTGTCATTTGAAAAAAGACACTTGAGTGGTCCTTTCTTCTATAGAATGATGTACTCCTTTAGCAATCAAGAACAGGCTCATTAACTTCTCAAAGTGCAGATGAGCAGACTACCTTTCAATATATGTTATCAACTGAAGTGCACTGGCCTACTTGGCCTGCTGATTACTTTGGGGTTTTTTTCCTAGACAATTAATTAAGCAAACTTGTATTGAAGCTAACATTGTGGTACAGAAATACATTTCAACTGATTAAAGTCCAACACCAATGAAGAGAAATTATGGCACCAAAATTTTCCATCCTCTACCATGCTAGGATAGATTTCTATTCAATCTACAGTTCTCATTTTCTAGGCTTTGTTCCACATAAACTTGTGCAAGTTTTCAACATTAGAACTTTTAATTATGTTATGAAAAGAAAAACCAGACCTCAAGCCAAAAATGTCATCAAAATCTACTGAGATACTGTTCAAGAACAAAATCCTCCCAACAGAGCAAGTCTAAACATTAGGTGCTCTCAGTAAGAATCAAACTGATAAAGCTAATTGAAAGCTTCAATTAAATGTTCAATCAACAGCATGCTTAAACTAAGTCAAAACAATGTTCCAACCACTCAATCTCAAACCAAGTAGGTATTGTTTAGAAACACTAACAAAAGATGTTTCATTTATAAATACTGAAGGAACAAAACATCACTGCATCAACCCAGAAATTACCAAGAAAATATTGTGAGGATAATAAATATGAAATTTAGTTAAATTTTGCTCTTCTCTCAAAATTTTTTGTTTGTGTTGGTCGTGGGGCCTGAACTCTGGGCCTGGGCTCTGTCCCTCAGCTCTTCAGCTCAAGGCTAGATAGCACTCTACTACTTGAGCCACAGCACCACTTCTGGCTTCTTCTGCTTATGTGGTGCTATGGAATCAAACCCAGGGCCTCATGCATGCAAGGCAAGCACTCTACCACTGGGCCACCTTCCCAGCCCTACTTTGGATTTTTGTCTGGCAGCAGCCTGTATCACCCTGTCTTTGTCCTCCTTAACCCTCTGAGATGCAAGAATTCAAGTGTAGTTGAAGTGCCTCGCTCCTTAGAAGTGTCTAGTATCTAATCTTTCAAAAAAACCTAAAGGCAGGAATCACTGTGACCTAGTGTGGTTCAATTCTGCGATTAGATCAAAGTCAGAGGGAAATACCGTAAAACTCATGGGAGTTTTTTAGTTCTGAAGATTCAGGTTTCCAAGACCTTTTGGACTTTTCATAATACCAGCTCTTCTTCTCATCGAAGACCATAAAAAGTAACACGAATTCTCTCATGTCCACAGCCATATTGCTCTTCTTATGAAGTATTCCTTTTCGGCAGACCAGAAGGGGTCCTATCAAGCCCGAGTGGATGTCTTTCTCCTGGAGGACAGGAAGAACAAATTGTATGTATTCTCCTTTGCTTAGGATTTTCTTTGCTCTTCTAACAAAAGAAGGACCCCCCCCCAACAAGCTCTTATCGGGAAATATTCACAAATAGATTTGTAAGCCTGGATATCTATCATTTCATTCTGCTTCATCTGATTGTATTCTCTTTTATACCAATAATGATGATGATATTGATAACATAATGGATACCACTTATTGAGCACCTACACTGTAGTCAATGCTTTACCTTGAGCATCTTACTTCATGCCAGCAAGTCTCCTCTCCAAGTTAAATATAATTCATTGTCCAAGTACTTATCAAATGCCTACTATGTACTTCACACTATTACCTCATTTTTTTTAACATTAGACACTGAGATCAAGAAAAGTCAAGTCATTTTCCTGCAGTCACTTAGTAGGGATGCAGCTGGAATTTAAATCTAAGCAGTCTCGGAGCTGGATATGTAGCTCAGTGGTAGAATACACATACAGAGGTTGCAGTCTCTAGTAACACACACACACACACACACACACACACACAACTGCTCTTTTACTATGCTTTTCATTGAGGACTTTAAAAAAATGTCACTATGTACATTACGTTTATCACATGCATCATAGTATTTTGAACTATCTATATATTGTGGACTGGCAGATGGATCTTGCTTTTCCTGCTTTTAATGAAGAGCTGTACCTGTGAATGGTTTTGACTTCTCACCTGCTTCCATAAAGCATAGGAGGCAGCTAGTATTCAACACCTGAGGAGAAATTTGTCCCAAACTGCCTGCCTGGGAATAAAAGAGATCCTCCAGCACTAGGGGACTAACTCCACATGTCGTGGCCTAGGAAACCATCCCTAGCATGCTCCACCTACTCTAGCCACCTCAACCTGCCCACAGAGGTTGTGGCACACAGTTCAGTTTGGGCTTGCCACATTCAAGCAAGGGACAGCAGCAGCTCTGGAAGACCTCTCTGGCTTGACCCAGGATGGGTGGATGCTGCCAGTGGGCCATCAACTCCAGCCATGCAGGATTCCCTTCAGCCCTGAGGTCCTGAGCGGCCCCTCCCCAACCTGGGGACTCCTTTGTCCTAGATACAGGCCTTGTTCTCTTGTTTGCTGAGACTGCATGCACAACTGGGCATTGTCCCTGGGTGTGTGAATGCTTTTGACCCCACGCCTGCTTCCACAAAGCATAAAAAGTACCTGCATTCAACTCCTGGGTAGAAGTCAGCCCCAAACCATGTGCCTGGAACAAAAGGGAGACCTCAGCACTAAGGAACTCTCTATAGAGGTCTTGGCCAAAAACAAAGCTTCTAGCGTTAGAGAGTGTCCTGGAGCCCTTGCTGCCTGCTTGTTTGAGGGGAGAGGGCACCTGGATTTTCTTGGGTGACCACATTTGCATGGGATTGCACTGTGAAAATAACAAGTGCGCCTGTCTCAGAGGGCCGAGGTGAAATGAGGGCACCAGGTGCATGCAGTAGGTACCATATGAATGCTACTTTCCTGCCTCCCAGCAGCCTAAGCTCAGGCAGGAAGCCTGGGAGTGGGTACCATTTGTCTTGATCACAGAATGGCTATTTTGTCCAAAAAATCTCTTCATTCTTCACTGGAGGAGTTGGACACAGGATAGAATGTGTCTGCATTTCTTCCTCCCAGAGAACACTGTCTCCTCTTGCCTGTGTCCCTATTCAGTTTAGAATAGTGCTGACTCCTTGTCACATGGTTTATTAGCAAACAAGAGATAACAAATTGATTCTCTCCATAGACTCCACAGAGCAGAGAAAGAATTCTTCCTTCTGCCCCCAGTCTCATTATGTGACTTGAGCCTACTTTGTCTGCTTGGGCCTTCCTTTCCCACCCTGCTGAGGCGTGCCTCAAAGCCTGGCTCCAGGCTATTAAATACTGCAAATAAGCATCTTTCTTTCTCTGCAAATGCAGGTGCCCTAACTTGAGCCCACGCATTTATATAATCCTCCCTCTTCTCCACTGTAAAAATAGTTCTCTTCTTCTCATCTAAACACTACGCGGAGATTCCTTAGTTTGGGTACCAGTGATTAGAACCTTTCCACAGCCCTCCCAAAAAACAAGAGCAACTTTTAACAAGAAATAACCCAACCCTTATAATGAAACGCCTCAGTACAATTAATGTATGCAACTAAAGAAAAGAAGGAGAGCCAGACTGCCAGGCAGGCAAGCAAGAAGGCAAGCAGGAAGACAGACAGACAGACAGACAAAGAGAAACAACCCAACCTTTACATTTGGTGGACCCAGATGACAAGATTAGGAGAATGACAAGAACATCAGATGGAAATACTAACCGGGTTCACTGCTGAGTAGTAGGCCCATACTCGACAGGCAGAGCCTGGGTTCTCGGGCCCTGATCGCTCTGTGGCATGCCATACATAGGTGTAGCTGCTGTTGGGCTGGACAGCATTATCCTCCTTAAACCACTCAGGAGAGTCATCTTCGTAAGTCTTTCCTTCTGATGACTTTTCGTAGGAAAGCCCGTGGGTGTGAAGAGAATATGGTCTGGATGCCAAGTTTTTAAAGCGAACCTAGAGAAAGGAATGCTCTATAAATTAATTGACAAAACAAGCTGAACTGAAAAATGTCAGCAATAATTGGCTAAAATGGGCAGTTGTGAGATCAGAACTAAGGCATATTGAGGATTTGCCTTTGGGAGTTTATATGTAAATTTTAATCTGGTTTCATAATCATGCTTTGACATACAGCCTATGTAGTTTACCATAGAAACACAGAAATTATGCTTGTCTTTAGTCTCAAGGCTAAAGGACTGACATTATTTACTGTTATGTATGAATTCATGTGGAAGTCTGGTCCCTAGCCTGCTCTGGTGATGGAAGTTGGTGAAACCTTTAGGAGGCAGGAGGCAGTTGAAGGAAGTTAAGTCATTGGGAGAAGTCCCTGGGGAACAAGGTTTTGGGGTCCCAGCCCCTTCCTCTCTATCTTTTTTGAGTTCCTGAACACCAAACACAAACACCTATGCTCCCCCACACACTGTCCACCATGATCAGTCTTACTTCAGGCCCAGAGAGCAATAGAACTAAGTGACTATTGGCTGCAACTTCTATAACAGTTAGCTATAATAATCTTTTTCTCCTTTAAGTTGCTTTGCTTAGATATTTTGTCACATAAACAGAAAGATAACAAATACCCTTCTTTTCTTTTTTTTTGGGACCCGTCATGGGGCCTGAACTCTGGGCCTGGGCATTGTCCCTTAGCTCTTCAGCGCTCTACCACTTGAGCCACAGCACCACTTCCAGCTTTTTTTTAATTTTTGCTTATGTGGTACTGAGGAATCGAACCCAGGGCCTCAGGCATGCAAGGCAAGCGCTCTACCACTGAGCCACCTTCCCAGCCCTCTTTTTTTTTGTGATAGGGGTTTCTTTATGTTATCCACTCTGCTCTCTAACTCCTGAACTGAATAATATCTCTGAATTATTCACTTTCCAACACTGAAAAAAATAAGGAAGATCATTTTTTTTTGTCTTGAAGAGTGTCAAATGGCTTGAACAATCCGCCTTTGAAAATCAATTTAATTATGTATTAACTTTGAACAATGATTCACCTCTATAATTTTTTGGACACCTTCACCTGAGCAATGTGTGGCACTTAGGAGAATTCCTCGGATGACGTTATTAGGGCATAAACTATGACTTACCTGGATAACATCATCCACTTCTGCTCTAATGATAGGACCAAGAATGCCAAGGTGCTCCTCATACTCTCCCCGCGGATCCCGTCTGGTAAAAGTACTATCCAGGTACTTTCGGAAGACAACTTTCTTGTACGTGGTGTCCTGTGGCACGTCATCAATGTCGTCATCCAGGTCCGCCTCTCTGAAATAATGACAGTGGTCATTTTATAGAAGAAGACATCAACACTGGTTCAATTTAGGAAATTGTCTCTGTTTTGAAATAGAGTATCTAGCACAGAACTGTTAATAACCATTGCAGGGATAAACTAATGAATTTATGTGTGAAGAAAGAGACTGGCCACTAAACTCCCAGCCGAAGGATCATTTCTTAGGGAAAGCTTCCTACGATGCTTTGGATGAGGTCATTTTTATCATGCCTTCTATTTCTACTGCGTGATTATAGTTTACACAATAAATTCCTGTGACCATATATGCCTATGAGGCAAATGATATATGTTCTATTTGTGAGATTATCTATTTCTGTCTTATTCCACCTCTGAGGTATAAGCCCTGTGAGGTAGGTATTATGTTTAGTTTGCTCACAGTATTTTTCTAATGTGGAACCTAAAAACATCACACTCACCCAAGCAGAGAGTAGAATGGTGGTTAGTAGCGGCTTTGAGGGCAGGACATAGGGAAGATTTAGATCAACAGATACCAAATTTCAGTTAAATGCACAAGGAATATGATCAGAAAGTATATTATACAACTTGATAACTATAATTAAAAATAGAGATCTATAGTCTTGAAAACTGGCAAGCAAGTAGATTTTTAAGTGTGGTCATCACAAAAATAAGAGACAATGCACATGCTAAACTAGCTTGAACTGGACATTTCACAATGTATATGTATTCAACACTGTCAATATTTACAAATAACAAAAAATGGTGGTACACACATCTTATGGAGCACCACTGAATAGAAAAATGATTCTTGATACATGAAAGGACTGGCTGAAGGTGGAGAATGTATGTATTGTGTGGGGGGAAAATGCCAGTCCCAAAGGTTACACGTTGCTTGATTTTGCTTATATGATATTCTTGAAATCATTTACATAATATTCTTGAAATGACAGTAACAGAGACTACAGAAGTGGTTGCCAGGAGATGAGGAGGAAGGTGGTGGGAGGGAGAGAGATGTGACTAGAAAAGATAACTAGGCTTTTCATGGTGATGGAAATGTTCTCTGCCTGAAAGTATTTATTTAGGTCAGTATATTGGCTGTGCTACAATGTTACAATTTCGCAGGGTGTCACCAGAGCAGAAATGAGACAGAGCATGCAAGGTATCTGTCTGCATTGTTTCTTGCAATTTAAAATTTTTCTCAAAATATAAAGGTTAATTAAAATATAAATATAACACATTATTCTCTAGATAGCTCATCAGCTCAGTTCAAAGCATATGAAATTCCCATAGTCTATGGGAATGAGCCAAATCTTAGTCTGTCATACTCATAATACTACTGATATATTTCATAAACCATCAACAGAGATTTTTTTTTTGGTGGTGGTACAGGGATTTGAACTGAGGATCTCACACTTACTAGGCAAATGCTCTATCACTTAAGTCATGGTGCCCCAAAACATAGTTCATTTTTTTTTAAGACATAGTTCTTTTTGCTTTAGTTTTTTTTTCTTTCTGATAGGTCTCCAACATTCTGTTCTAGCTGGCCTTAGACTACAATCCTCTAAATTTCTAAGTAGATAGGACTACAGGCATGAGCCAATCTGTGTAGCCAACATGGAGTTTTATTCTGCCTTCTTTCTAGTCTGACCTACAAACTTCATCCATTCTAGATAGATTCTAAGCTTAGCATCCAGTCTCACAGAACACAGGAGAGAGGAGAAAACAACTTTGCAATAAAAGCTGGGTGTAGGACTAGACTAAGGCATGAGATTTTTAAAAGCATTTGTTTCATCTTGTTCTACTCTGAAGAAACACTAACTTCTATCACCCTCAGACCTTGCTTATAATTCTCAGATATCCAGATAGTCTCATGCATTTAAGTAGGAAGTTAGGAGGAATGTATTTTTAGTAAGAATCCTAATGTGGAAATAAATACTTGTGGACCAAAGTCACATCACATATTCTGTCTGGCTACTCTCATTACATTTTAGTTTTTAGTGAATAAATGTAGCAGCTTTTATGAGAGCTGTGGACTATTTATAGACCATGAATGAACAATTAATCACCATGTGTATCCCTGAGAATCTGTAATTGACCAATTCTTGCTCCTTTCCTCCTCTTTCTTCTATATATAGCTGAGCCCAATGTGACTCTCTACCTCTAAGCAATACTAAATTGAAATGGTCTTAACTTAAGAAGGTATATGTTGAAAAGTATCTTAAATATATATACATATATATTCAGAATCTGCCCTATAAACACATAAATGTGAAAAGGAGATGTTTACATTGTAATCTGGATTTGAAACCAACTTCAATTAAGTCATATTAATTTGATGATCATTATGGATAGGCTAAGCTCCATATTGGAACAAGACAGGAGAACTTGTGGGAAGAGAATAGGAGACAGGAATCATTTATACCCATAGCACACAAGAGATTTCACAGTGATTCCTGTTACATTTCTTTAGGTCTCTTCTAAAGCCATGGAACCAATTTTCAGAACTGACACAGGAAATACGGGCCAAGTTGCAATAGGAGAACCAAACTATATTGTACATAATTTGCTAAAAATTATTTCTTAGGGCTATTTTGTGTACTTTTCCTCCATAGAAGTGGGGAAAAGAGACTATAAAAGAGAAAACTATCCAACCTTTCTGCAAATTGTGAATAATCCCAGGATATTTCCTCAGCTGCAATATAATAATACTTTCTGTTCCCCGAATTGCTGCGGAGATACCATGCCGCGATGTTGTCAGGATTCCTGGAGGATGTCGTATCTGCCCTTGTGTCTGTTTCATACGGGTTGTCGTAGTTCACATAGTACAGCTCAGCATAGTCATCTTCACTGCCCTCATAATCTTCCCTGGGAATGATCTCGATGTAATCTCCATCATCTCCACTGAAGCCTACCACCACGAGTGGGTTAAATTCTTTCGGTGTAAAAGTGTCATTGAGCGTTGGAGATGGCATATGAATAAGGTCTAGATAGGGAAACGTTTGATTAAAATCAGGATGAGGTAGAGGCTGACTGGATTCAGAAGGGGAGGATGTCTGACTGTGGTCTGGAGGAAGTGTCTCACTGCTATTAGGAGGAAGGGTTGTCTGACTGATGTCTTGAGAGACAGTCACCTGGCTAAGGTCTGGAGACAGGGCCATCTGGCCAAGGTCTGGAGACAGGGCCATCTGGCCAAGGTCTGGAGACAGGGCCATCTGGCCAAGGTCTGGAGACAGGGCCATCTGGCCAAGGTCTGGGGGTGGAGATGTCTGGCTGAGGTCAGGGGAGAGTGTTGTCTGGCCTGGAAATGGGGACAGCGCTACCTGGCCAAGGTCTAGAGATGGGTCTGTCTGGCCGAGGTCAGAGGGTGGGGACATCTGGCTGAGATCTGGGGACAGAGCCATCTGGCCAAAGTCTGGGGACAGAGATGTCTGGCCAAGGCCTGGGGAGAAGGGCATCTGGCCGATGTCTGTGGAGGGAATTGTCTGGCTGAGGTCTGGGGTGGGGGAGGTGTATTGCTGATCTAAAGGGATGGATGGCTGACCAAGTTCTGCCAGGAAAGTCGGCCAGGTGTCATGTTCTGAGAGAGGGGAGGTTTGACTGTCGTCAAGAAAGAACTTATGGCTTAGGTCATAGGGAAGCATCCAACTGGATTCTGAAGGAGAGGCTCTATGATTGGGATCTGGAGTAGAGTGTGTTTGATCAGAGTCTTGAATAGGAAACCATTGATAGCCTTCCTCCGGGGGCACTATTTGATCAGGATCAGGAGGGGAGGAGCTTGCCTGACCAGTGCCATTTGGGAGCTTCTGATTATGGCTAAGATTCCTGAGGGGGACTGTCTGATTGGAGTCTATGGGAAGAGACGTTTCATTGGATTTAGGCAGGAAAGGGTGGTTGGGTCTCTTGGTGTAGGTATCTCTTCTTCGGGGGTGAAAACTCCGGGGAGACAGAGGAACATGCTGTGTAAGCTTCTTCTTTTTCCGTGTTCGGATTAAAAATTGTCCTCTCATCAAGCCACTATTTCCTCCACGCTGTTTGACTTGAGAAATGTTTCTCAGGTTACGTCTCATTGGAGTGAGGTTTGGGCGATTACTCTGCTGTCCTGGCTGTTCTGTAGAAGGGATGCTTTCTTCCAGAGTCCTCAAGACATTCTGGGTACTGTTCTGTGTACCAACAGCCATGTCTTCCTCTCTGTCTTCTATGATCTCATAGCTACCTTTTTCAGAAGCCAGATACCATTTCTCATTCATAATCTTTGATGGGTTCATTTGTTTTAACAGTAATAAATCACTAAGAATGTCCTTCCCGGGGCTCATTCTGGAGGATGTATTATCTTGGTTTGAATGTCTCCCAAGTTTACGGACTGGGAAGTTCATCCAGGAGAACCTATGCTTTGCAGCTTGGTGTCTTCCTGCCTTGGGTACTTTATGTTTAGCCTGTCCTTGGCTTCTGAATCCTTCTGTAAGGAGGCTTATGTGTGTGCCATCTGGCTGCAGGGGGTCCTCCCTATAGTCTTCAGAATATGGGCTGGAATGCTCTTCTGTGGAAGGGTTGAGAACTGAATTCTTGTCGAAGCCAGTGAGGTGTCCCAGGGGGCTGACAGCTGGAGTGGCTACTGGGTGGGGAAGGGTTTTCTGAGGCTCTGTGAGGTTATCAACAGTGAGCCTACTCGTGTTTCTTGAGGAAGAAGAATTCAAGCCAATAGCTGTATCTGTGCTCGGAGAAATAAATTCGGAGCTGTTTTCTAGGGCAAGAGCAGTAAGATTGAATTCATCTTCTTCCCCATTCAATGATGAATTCCTGAATGACCTAATTCCTAATGAGGTAGCCAGTTCATCCTGGTAATCAGATTCATTATCATCCTCTTCCTGTTCGTTTTCTGCAGAGTAGCGCATTTTCCGAGTCTCCATGACTGTAGACTCCACAGGTTTATAAATATACGAGTCATCATTATCATCATCATTCCGGTTACATTTAACATCTCTGAATCTCAGACTTAGGTTTTTGCTTCTGGGACTAGAATTCATGGTAGTTATCATCCAAGTTCCTTTAGAAGAGACACAGAAGACAAATGTTGAAAGTCAAGGAAAAGGTATTAGAACAACAGTATCTGAATGATTTCTTGTGGACTTTGAAATATGTATCTGTCTGTGATATGTGGGCCATTGTTAATTGGTGAACTTTAAATTATTGGTCCTTAATGACATAAAGAAAGAAACTGAGAATAAGATACTTAAGTGTTTGTGTTTTTGTTAGCAGTTTGCTTATACTGTGACACTCAAGTACATGATCAAGTCATTGCTCTTATTGACAGAATGTAGTCCAAAAGTAGGAAGTAGGAAGAAAAAAAGTTTAGGTTTTTTTTTTTTTGCACACAATGTCAAGCATATTTTGGAAGATATGAGGGGAGGGTTGAATCACAAATAAGACATTGACTATTATAAACATCTTATTAGCTGTATATCTTGTTTGAGAGTTAGAGTTAGAGGATGATAATAATGTCTACTTCCAGCAAAATATTTAGATCTTTAAGAAATAATTTAGATAGGGTCAATGCAGATTTGAATCTGTCTAAAATGGTATGAATTACTAATATGCTAAAAGTTTCCTGGGAAGTCTCCAACACCTCTGACTTGGTAAATATTACAATTAATGGCCAAAGAACCTCTGTCAATTGATGTACTTTTTATGTGTGCCTGGATTGGGACTTGAACTCAGGGTCTCATGCTCTCACTTAAACTCAGTACTTGCTGCTTTTTTTTGCTCACTGGCCAATTCTCTATCAACTGAGCAATGCCTTTAAACACTCACTGGGCTTTTTTTTTCTCAAGGCTAGAACTTTACCACTTGAACCATACCTCCACTTCCAGATTTTTTTTGTGATTAGCTGGAGAAAAGAATCTCACAAATTTTTCTTCCTGGGCTGGCTTTAAACCAAAACTCTCAGCTCTCAGCCTCCTGAGTAGCTGGGATTGCAGTGTGAGCTACATGAGCCCTCCACTATAGTGTTTTACAGGTGAATAATTTGAGGCTTGTTTAGGCTGTGTAAGATTACTAGCGATTGAGTGGTAGAGGATTTGAGCTGTGTCTGATTTTTTACCCTAGGATGGGTGGTTGTCTTAAAAAACGAAAAGGAGTGTCTGAACTAACAATACAAGCTTTCCTACTCATGCATTGTCCTCAGGGTTGTGCAGTATCCTCCTGCTGGTAGTCTTGACTGCCCACTCGACTCAGAATTGTATAAATTGGAGCCATATGAAAGAATAGGACCCAGTTAAGTCAAGGGTTTCCCATTTTGAAGCCCTCAATTATAGTGAGGACTACAAGGCATCAGGGAAATACACCAGAAAGAGGTGGTTGTCTGGAGAAATGTTGCTGGCCTTTAGAGACCAGTGGCCCAAAGTCAGCTTCTTCTCCAAGTGTCCACCTTCTTACCAATGTTATCCATTGTGACTGTCACAGATTCTCCACGCATGGGGAAGAGGGTCAAGGTATCTTCATGCCTTTTTCCATGCAAAAATGAGTGTCCAGTGAAATGAATGGTCAAAATATCATCCTGAGCCCCCACACTGCAGAAGTGCCACTGGACAGTGTCATCAAAGCAGAATCCTAAAGTAGGTATGCTCTCAGGCACATAGCCATTGATAGCTGAAAGATAAGATGTGTTAGTATACCAGGTCTCTGCAAACGAAAGGGCATGTGTCTAATTATATCCAAGACAAATGTCCTAGTGTTCATTTGGTTGTGTCAAAGCAGTGATTATCCAAGGTAAGTCTCACTAGGTCTACCGTGTGACCAGGAGATCAAATTCAGACTTCCCAAATGAGAGCTTCTCCTTCTTAGTCAGTTGAGAGAGAAATGTCGGGATAGAGACAAAGCCTTTTATTCACATTGACTTATTCATTCATTTGACAGATATATATATATATATATATATATATATATATGTTAAACATTTTGAGTTCTAAAATCTGTCATAAGGAAATTCTGAAGATAAATAGAGAATAGTAAGCAGAACAGTTCTACTTTGAAGAAAAGCAAACCATAAGAAATTCATCTTCTTGATATACCAGTCTCTGAGAAAAATGAATCTCCTTTAAAAGGGAGCTTATTTAGGAGATTCTGTCATTTTTATGGATGCCTATTGTCATCTATATATGTTATAACTTTCCATTCAGTTTCATGCAGTTTGACTCAAAATATAAATATATGTTCCTCACTTTTAAAAGAATACTGCTAGGCAACATCTCTATTTTTGGATGTACTAATCAGCAATAATTTGTGATCAAATCAAATCTGTACTAATTTGGAGTCAAATCAAAGAAACGACTTTTATGTGGACAGAGCCCACACCTGCGTGGACTACCTCTGTACCTCTAGTACTAGTAGAGCGTCCAGACTCCCAGCAAATTTGTAAGTGAGCACTTAACATCATTTCAGGGATTCAATATGTATTCCTTAGCAATTTGCACCTCATTCTAGAGGTACATATTTATTGGACAGTGTACCTTTATTCCATTTATTCTATATGGCCACTGGCTATCAGTGGCTATTGAACAAGTGGTTTCTTGCAGGGTTAGGGATCAAACCAAGAGCCTTATGCATGCTAGGTCAGCACTCTACCACTGAGTTATATACTGCCAGTCCTCATGAATGCTTGATAATATGAATAAACTGAACTGAGATGTAGTAGAAAAATGCAGTTCACATTGGATTGCAAAGATTGAGTAATAAAGTAAATCTCATTAAATTTTTCTATTGATTAAATTTAAAGTGATATATAAAATATATTAGTAAAGCACACTAAATTAATTTCACTTTATGACTTACTTTCCTTTGTTACTTATTTTTATGTCAGTACTGGGGCTTGAGCTCAGGGCCTTATACTCTTGCTTGGCTTTTTCTCTTACAGCTGGTGCTCTGCTACAGGAACCACATCTGTAGTTCTGGCTTTTTGCTGGAGACAAACTCTTGAGTTTTTCTGCCTAGGCTAACTTCAAACCTCGATTTTCCAATCTCAGTCTCCTGAGTAGCTAGGATTACAGGAGTGAGCTCCAGGCACCCAGCTCTTTATTGTTCAATGTAACTCCCAGAAACATTTTACGTATGTAGCTAGTATGTAATTTCTGAAGCACAGTTCTGTCTCTAGAGCTATGACAGATTGACTGCAGAAATGAAATTATGCAAAGAAAGCTGAGAGTAGCTGGCTCCCTGTTTGTCATGGCAACCTATCATTTCTGAAGATCTCCAAATTATCAGTCATCTGACATTACGTGGACAGATAGTGGAGAAACAATCCTCATAGGTATGAAAAGGGATGAAGGTCACTCACTTCTGACTCAGGAGCAATAGACGGTATCCTGGCTGTTGGGAGAGAAATTTGCTTCTAGATTCGTTAGTGAAATTTCTCTTTGACTTCCTGTTGACTTTGGAACGGAAGGAAGTGCCTGCATTCTGACTCAGGGAATTCCTTCTGCTCTGAGCTTCTTTCTGTTTAACACCTTTTCCTACATTGACTTTCCAAGACTTTTGAGTACCCAGACTCACTCTGCTTTAGTTTGGATTACATATCTTGTTTCTGCCCCGGTCTTGAGTGAATAGTATTCACCCTGGTTAAGTCTAAACTCTCCAGTGCACTGATCAAGGGTATAACACGTTCTGTACCCAGCCCTTCCCTACATCCATTGAAAGTAAGAGATGAAGCTTCAAAGTTAATAAGCACTGGTTGTTTTTAATTTTACTCGGGAATTTCACCAACAAGTCCTGAAATTGCCTCTGCCTATGGGCATAGCCACTCCAACCACAGGAGTGAAAATGTGATGGACAGCCATGGTCTCTAACTTACTGCTCATGATGTTTGACTGGTAAAACTTGGGATCATCACGTTTCACCTCATCAGGATTTTCACAAAATGTGTTGATGTTATCCTCAATATACCAGCTCTTGTTCTCATCAAACATGGCAAACACAGCCAGCTGCTCGATGTCTGCTGCCCTCTGGAGGAAGACAAGGCTGTGGTCAGTGGTTAATGCTCCCCCTAAGGACCAGTTACTAAACACTGGGTTCTCAGACACTGTACGGACACTGAAGCCATCATTCAGATGGTTTGTCAAAGCTAAGGCTAATATGCAAAGCAAACAGGTCAGAACAGAAAATTCAGACACTAACACATCCCCAAAGGCCAAAAATAATCCCATTTCACCACAATAACTGAAAATCTGTTCATCTCTGTAATTGAGCATCTTTCTGAATACATTCCAAGTAGTTGCAGAGGACATACAGAATGTTGTAACAGAAGATCCCTTTTGTCTCTTTTCTCTTGTATAAATCAGGATCTTAAAAATGTCCAGTTCTGATTTTTCTAGACGTATGTTTATTTTGTATGCTTTGAGGTAAAACTCTTTGATTATAACTTAGCCCAAGTGAGAATTTTAGGTTAATGATAACAGGACTATTTGATCTGCAGTGATGAAAAACTCAGATCAGGGTCTTGTTCCCATTCTTCGGGATGATTTAGTTTCACTGCAGATATGCCATTGTTTGGCTCCAACTTCACTAGAAGTCATCTTCAACTGCATCTGTTTTCTGGGAAATCTCCCCTATCTCTCTATCACCAGTCTCGGAAAGTCCCAAAGATCAATATAGAAATTTACATTATTAGCAGATGGTATCTCACAGAATTCCCCCAGACCACCCCGTTCTCAATTTTTGGCAGAAGTATTACTCATTTAAGAAAGGAAGAAATTGGGAGATATTAAATGATTTCCTCAACAAAGCCAACACACAGGGAGTTTTAATCTAAAGTTAACTACAGTATCACACTACAGACTTACATTCGGCACTGACTGTCACAACGAAACCAAAAAAGGGCCCAGTATTTGTTTTGGTTCTATAGATAGAAACACAATTTAACAAGGAGATTGGATCTGTTCCAGCCAGGAGAAATTCCCAGAATTTCTGAAAAGGTATGTCAAAGAGCAATTACCTGTATGCCCCGAATATCCAGGGATCTGCTCTTACAAATTAGAAGAAGCCCTATCAGCCCAGAGGCAATGTCCCTTGTCATATCTACGTCACTGTAGTACGGTCTTGTTAAGCACTGGGGATCATTTTCTGTGGGTTCATCAGACTCTAGGATATTCCATTTGTAAGTATAGGTTTCTCCAGGTTGAACAGCTCTGATCATGTGACTGCCTAAAAGTGAATACACTCAAAATTATTTTAACTTGAAAATTTATTACATGATGCAAAGTAAATATTTTAGCTCTCACTAGAACCAAATAATATCAGGAAAGAAATTTTCTTTTTACCTTAAACACTTGGAATTCTGGATAGCATGTAACTGTTTCAGTACTTCCTGCTAGAGGCAACTCTAACAGCAATAAAGAATTCCATAATTTGTGACCACAGACAGAATCCTGAAGTGAGACGTGCTTGTGACTTTTAGGCTATCTGTACATGTGTATTACTACTTATAACACAGGGCAAGGAGGGAAACAAAAGATACAGAAGCATCTCCAGGTCATATGTTTCTTTCAGAAGAGGCTCCCACCTGAGGTAGAGTGGGCTTCATCATCTTGATGAGAGAAGGTCACTCCATGAGGGTAAATGCTATATGCCCGGCTGGCCATATTTTTAAACGTGATCTGTAAAGTTAAATCAATGTTGTCATTTCAGGATTTAAAGTTTCTCATGAGAACCAATAGAAGATGCTAGCTTTGCATATTTACCTCGTGTGTGTGTGTGTGTGTGTGTGTGTGTGTGTGTGTGTGAATACACACAGTTATCTGAGCAGTAACTCCCTCCCATTACCTTGTGGTGGTAATACATATGATGGTGGAAAATTGAGCTGACCTTAAAGGACAGATTAGGAGTAATTACATTTTCTTCACATTGTATTACAACTCTTCAAGTTGGTCCTCATCTTTCTTCCCTACTTGGACCACATCTGTCTCCTCTCATCTCTAGACACTATTCCCTTCTGCCTGCCTGATGTTCTAGAACCACTCTTCCTGCAGGGCACAAAATCCACATCCTGCATTCCCAACAAAGGATTTTTGCACTTGAATCTAATATGCCTAAAAGAAAGAAGTGAGGTAAAGGGAAGCTTCATAGAAAAGAAGTGCTTTGTTCTTTCATTGGTGTGTGTGAGTGTGTGTGTGTGTGTGTGTGTGTGTGTGTGTATGCACGCATTGCACTGATAGTGAGGCTTGAGCTCAGGGTGCTGTCTCCTAGGTTTTTCCACTCAAGGCTGGTGCTCTACCACTTGAGCCACAGCTTACTTTGGGCTTTTTGCTGATTAATTGGATTTCAGTGACATAAGAGCTGGCTTTAAACTCTGATCCTCAGATCTCAGCCTGGGTAGTTAGAATTACAAGTGTGAGCCATTGGCACCTAGATCTTATATTGTTTTTGTTGTTGGTGGTGGTGGTCATGGGGCTTGAACTCGGCCTGGGCACTGTCCCTGAGCTTTTGTGCTCAAGGTTAGTGCTCTACCACTTACTTTGAGCCACAGCTCCACATTCAGTTTTCTGGCTGATAACTGGAGATAAGAGTCTCACAGACAGCAGGGCGCTGGTGGCTCACGCCTGTAATCCTAGCTACTCAGGAGGCTGAGATCTGAGGATTGTGGTTCAAAGCCAGCCCGGGCAGGAGAGACCATGAGACTCCTATCTCCAATAAACCACCAGAAAACCGGAAGTGGCGCTGAAGCTCAAGTGGTAGAGCGCTCGCCTTGAGCTGAAGAGCTGAGGGACAGGGCCCAGGCCTACAGTTCAAGCCCCACGGTCTACAAAAAAAAAAAAAAGTCTCACAGACTTTCAGGTCCAGGCTGGCTTTGAACTGTGATCCTCAAATGTCAGCCTTCTGAGTAGCTAGGATTACAGCTGTGAGCAACCAATGCCCAGTTCCTTATTGTGTTGTTTAATATACAAAATAGACTTTATCTGGGGACATGATTCACATAGGAATCTTTATTAGGTTCTTTAGTCTTCAAAAAACTCTTGATTGACTTCCCAAGGCTTTGACTCATCCTTAGTTTGTAGAAAATCAGCATTATCTTAAATTTTGCTCAAATTGTAACCTTCAGTTTTTGCTGGTCACTTATTACCTATGTTAGAGATGTGATATAAATCTCTAAGGAGAGTTGTCTAAGGCTAACTCCAAGCTTTTGATACATATCTAAATGTACCTTTATTAGAGACCAAATGAGATCCAGGCATCTAGACCACATTAAAGAATAGTTGTTGCTGTTGTTGTTTAGTCAGTTGTGGGGCTTGAACTCTGGGCCTGGGCTCTAGTCCCTCAGCTCTTCAGTTCAAGGCGAGCACTCTGCCACTTGAGCCTTAGCTCGACTTCCAGTGGATATTGGAGATAAGACTCTCATAGACTTTCCTGTCAAGGCTGGCTTTGAACCATGATCCTCAGATCTCAGCCTCCTGAGCAGCTAGGATTACAGGTGTGAGCCACTGGTGCCCAGCTAAAGAATTGCTTTTAATTCAGTTGTGTTTACTGTTGTGTACCCTGCACCTATGAAAAGCATTAAGAAGCTGTTTGACTTTTAGGTTCTGTAACAGCTGTACGAAGTTTGGGAAGGATGTCCTCCTCTGAACCTAACAGCACCCTCGCTTGAAGGCTCCATGGGAAAGTTCCTCTTAGGTTTTAGCCACAGGCAAATCGTGCTGTCTTTGTGAATTTGTGTATAAATCTTGTCCTAGTACATTCACTTTGCTATATATAGCTTGGGACAAAATCTGCAGTCAGCCTTATAATTATTCCTGAGTTTTAAAATTTTCGCTATCCTTAAGTAGTTGTACAAAGGAATTGCCATTTAACAAAGCAGTTTATGTCCCCCCTTTCAAGTGACATTTGTTTCTCCTACACCAGTACCAGCGCGTGAAGTCAGCCTACCCCACTTACTTCGCTTGCTTGTTTGGCCGATGCTCTACCACTTGAGCCAGGCCTCCATACCTCCATCTCAGGTTTTGGAGTCTCATGGACTTTTCTGCTTGGCTTGGCCTTGAACCAGGATCCTTCAGTTCTCACTTTCCTGAGTTTTTATGACTACAGTTGTGAACCACTGGTATTTGGCCTGATTTTCTCTGTCCCCAAGTTCTCTCTTTAATTAATTGATTCGTTTTTTTTTTCCTTTTTGATAATTTGTTGTGAGACCTTTGTGTTACGGAGCAGGCTATAAATAAAAGCAAGCACTAACTGAAATCTAAAAGCTACATTTGCAATTAAAATTACAGGAATACTTTGATTAAGTCTAAACACATAGCCATCTATTCTGTGGTATTTATTTAATTGGTTTTGTATTTCTATTACTTACTTTGAGTGTGTCTCTGACCTGGGCTCTGATAATTGGGCCCAAAATCCCATCTTCTTTTTTCTCTATGCGTTTGGTGAAGGTCTCATCTTGGTACTCTTTGTAAACCACTTTCTTATACTCTTTTCCAATTTGGTTTGAGAAATTATCCAAGTGTAGAGACCTATATTTTCTGAAAGTGAAATGAAATAATAGAACAACAATTTAACCAATTTTTAGAATGCGGAAACCTTTGCACTTAGCAGGGTTTTGGATTAGCTAAAATGCCTACTTCTCTAAAAATTAGTGTGCTTACAGGGTCCTCATATCTTCTGTCCTGTTGCAAAACTAAACATCTGAGTAAAAGATTGATTAAGTCCTAGATAAGTGATCAGAAACAGCTATTCACACTCCCTGCCACTCCCACTGGGGTAGCAGGCTTGGATAGCTCAGAGAAACAGGTTGAGAAAGGAGGTCACATTGGGAGTTGTTCTAAAACCTTCCCTGTCACTTGATCTATGATGGCCTTACTGGCTTCCCAAATATTTGAGTCTTCAGCAGCCCCGTCTGGCCGTTTTTACTCATTGATCTTTATTCATTAGAGTTTTGTGTGGTTGGGCTGTTCCTTTCACCAGCCACCCAAATCCTTTACCATCTTCTGTACCTCCTAGGATACATGGTTTGGGAGAAGAAACATGAATGCTGGCTCCCCTTATTGCCTTAGTTTGCAAAGGAGGAGCTGCGAGTAGCTGTTTTATGCATTTATTCTGTACAGTGAAAACATTGACTATTGCCAGAGTCTCAGATGCCCATTTCAGCTCTTTGCTACTTACATAATCATGGCCAAGTTCCTTTTTTTGCTCTTCTTTCCAGTTTAGTTCTTTAAGCTGATTTCAAGGTTATTATTGTTTTTTTATTACAGTGAGATTAAAATCTCTCATATCTAATATTGCTTTTTTGCCTGTCCTGAATTTCCTCAACAATTTTCATTTCATGTGTATCATTTCAAAATCTTGTGTAATGCATACAAAGACCCAAAAATAAGCAAATATAAATATTGTATTTATACAGAAGGTACCTAGTTATATAGTCCATAATAAACTTGATTGATTTATTCATTTTTGGGTGACGGTCCTGGGGTTGAACTCAGCTTCAGGTTTGCTAGGTGGGCGTTCTACCACTAAGCAGAGCTCTCAGCCCTATTTGCACCTTTTTTTTTTTTTTTTGGTAACTTGTGGGGCTTGAACTCAGGGCCTGGGCACTGAGCTTTCTTGCTCAAGGCTAGTGCTCTACTACTTGAGCCACAGTGCCACTTTTAGTTTTCTGGTGGCCTTTACTGCCAGGTCTGGCTTTGAATTGAGATCCTCAGATCTCAGCCTTCTGAGTAGCTAAGATTCAGGACTGAGACCCCTGCTCCGGCTTTACACTCCTTATTTTGCACTGGTTATAGGACCTCACTACCTGCTCTGGGGTTTTTCTTACACCTGTCCATCTTCCTCCTATCATAGCTCAGAGGACAGGTATGTACCACAGGCCCAGCTCTTTTCTGTTGAGAAGTATCTCAGAATTTTTTCTCCAGGCTGACCTGGACTTGTCACCCACTCAATCTCAGCCTTCTGCACAACTGGAATCACAAGTAAGCCATTCTACGCAGCTATTTGTTAAGATAGATTTGGCCCAGCCTCAGACCTCAACTTAACCTATCCGAACTTGCCAAGCAGCTAGGCTTATAGGCATAAGCCACATGTTTCCAGCTTTACATCTTGCTTTTTAAGTTTAACAGTATGTCTTGGAGAATTTTTATGTTAGTATATAAAGAATATTTATATGCTTCTTTTAGAAAAATGATAGCCCATTGTATGAACATGTCATTGTTTATTGGTTTCCTACTGATAGACATTTGTGTTTGTTTCTAATAATTTGCTCTAGCCTAGTGTGGATGCCCTGTACATGACATTATTTCACCTGAGGAAAATGGTCATTTCAGTATACACTTCCTAGTTATCCTCTAGAAAGGATGCAGCAATGTGCTCGGCCACCAGAGGGTGTGCTAGTGCTTCTTTTCCATAGCCTTATCAGCAGATCGTGCCTTCTTCATGTGGGTCTAATAGGCACTGGAGTAGTATTCAGTGAGTGTAAGTTGTGTTTCTGTTATTATGAATGGACTTGAGTATTTTCTGAAATGTTTAAGAACCATGGGAACTCCCAAAGTTCTTACTCTCTTGGACACATTCCCTCATCTGTAAGAAAATAGAAGCAGTGGCTTATGTGTAGAATTGGCATGAAGCCCTTAGAATGGATCTAATACAATGGTTAGCAACAAGTGGTAGCTACCATTTTTTACTGGTATTATTAGACTAATTTCAAGATTGATTAAGTTAGGAAGTCTGGATGGGAACCAATTGACAGCCGTCCACACAGGACCTTTCACATTCCTCCCAGGACCCTGTGGACATGTCTCAGTGTTTCGCACAGTGATAGGAAGCCCAATGACTCACTTGTCCATATTGGCTGGGATGACAGGTGCATAGTTCCAGATGACTTCCTCGGCAGCAATGAAGTATTCCCACCTCCTAATGTGCCGTCTCTGGTCTCGTGTTAGTTTCTTTGGAGTCCTGGTTTTCTTTAGGCAGTCTTTAATATCAACATAAACTTGCATCCCAGCTGAGTTAGGATATAAAGGCAGTAGAACAATTTGAGAGAAGCAATTGTTGTTAATCAAAGTGCGTATTTCTGAAATCAATTTGTAGAAGATGTAAGTAGTCACACTAAAAGCAATAGTCAGGCAACTCTAGAATGTTTGGTGTAGGGATTTGGAAGAGGGGGCAAGAATAAACTAGGGTTGGGGGAAAGGGTTAAAAGTTGGGAAATTTCCCTTTGATTCTTTTGGAGGACAAAGATTTCTTTTAGTTTCCAGACTCTTAGGGCTAGGAGTATAACTGAGTGGTTAAGTGTGTCCTTAGCACACACAGATGGCCCTGCTCCCAGCACCACAAAACAAAAGAAGACAAATAAAAACAAAAAGTTCAAGAAAACACTATAATTTAGATCTTATTCAACTTTTTCTTATTTCTCTGTATAAAACGAAGACAATAATAGCATGTGCTTAATGGAAAGGTCATTAAAAATTAAATAACAATCCATAACAGCACTCTCCTCAATGTTAGTTTTATTTTTAATATTATTAGGAACTCTATCTTACACAGATATAGTAGCAATATCATTGCTCCAGATATAATTTTGATTGGTTAGTGTAAAAAGAAGACAAAATGATCCATGAAATGTTTTATCCACGTGTTTACACACATTACTTTGGCAGCAGTATGTTTTCCTACAATAATATCATTTACTTTGATTTTAGTTTCTGTAAACACAAATGCTTCACTCAATAGTGCTAAAGGAAAAATGTGTACCACTTAGGTGTTTAGCTCCTGTGGTATCACAGAGCCTTGGGGGTTGATTTTCCTGCTTGAATTCACTGATGTTCTAAAGTCTACCCTACAGCTGTTAGGATATTCTTATGACAGATGCAGTACAAATTGAATTCCTTTCTGTGTCAGGCTTTATGCTCAGCTCATTGTAAAAAAAAAATCACCTTGTGTTTAAGCTTTTGCATTCCCAGTAACTTGGTGCTCCTAAAAATGTGTAGATGTTTGCCTTATTTGATCTAACTTCTAGGTCTTTCCTTCAGCTACATGTGAAATACTTTCAAGAGAGAATACTTCCGTGTGTGCATTTGTTTCCTTCCTCTTTCTTCTTTTGAGGAAGTAGAGACCTCTTCAGCTTTTGCATCACTTAAAAAAAAACACAACACCTCCATTTCCTTCATTTCTAACCAACGGTTATAATCTAAAGGCAAGGGTCTACATGGTGTTGTTAGGAATCTCGACAGGTGTATCTGGCGTGGGGCAAGGTGGTGCTCGTGCCTGGGAGGGTTTCTTGCCTTGGAAATGCGTTGGAATGAGAGAAGATATGATCCACTTCCCCTCCGGGCTCACAGTCATGTTTGCAGTTGTGGACGTGGCGCTGAGCAGGGTGATGGCTGAGACCTTGTGATGGTTCTGCTCCAGGACCTGGCCGTTGAAATGAATGGAGAACAGCTCTGGCCCCGAGCTCATTCCAATCAGATGCCAGCTGATGTGGTCATGGGCACAAACCGTTATATCTGAGGTGGAGGGCGCGGGAAGGAGAGAAATGATCACAAAATAGGCGTTCAGTTAAGTCTCCTATAATCACAAATTCACTCACCAACTCTATCTGCGGTGCTTGCTCTGCAATGGGCATTGTGTAAAGTTCTGAGGAAACATGCTCCAGTCAGGGCTCCTGTCCCACAGAAGCATGCATCTGAATGACGGGCAACCCGTCGCTCACAACTCATTGCAGGAAGTGGCATTTTGAAGGCAATTATAGACTCCATAGATGGAGAACCTTAGTTCAAAATCCTAAGGATTGCTAAGTGACTATCTCAAGGAAGGAATTAAGCATGCAACTATCTCATGGAGGGAACTAAGTAGGTGAGCAACTAGCCTGGTTGCTATCCAGAATTGAGGTTTTCCTGGGACATAGGGCTTTTAGTATAAGAACTGGTAAAGTCTCAGAAAACGTGGTAGTTGATCACACCAGTCTGGTTTCAGTGGGAGGGTCTGGAGACCCCCCCCCCCCACTAAAAGAAATGATTCTAAGGAATGAATCCTCCTGCCTGGATAAAAGCAAAGCTCTGCCTTAGGGGGGAAAGGTGAGAAGGGTCTGTGACAGTTTTTGTTGCTTTTTTATCTGCTTTGATTGTTCTAATGAAAAGATAAGAATTGCTCTGTGTTGCTTCGTCTTTGTAAATTGCAGTGGACATGCCTCATTATGCTGGCCACTGAGAGCGTTTCACGGATGAGTAGTAAGAACTGAGGGAAAAGTCTTCATTTGCTTCCACAGTGACTGGGGAAATGCTCATTTGTTCTGTGGGAGATTTTTAATCCTGGCTTCTATCTGTGGCTTGGGTTTTAAATTTCAGACTCTGAATCACTAGACAGTTAACTAGGGAGTTGAGGATCAGTCTCTTACCGATAGAGGGGCTGATCCTTTTTTGGAGATCATTGTGAGAAGTATGGCTGGTATCATTGATGAGAACAGGAAGCTACAAGGGTCACTAAGATGTATCGTTCTCACAAATTGACACATTGAACTGAAACCCCTACTTAATGATGATAATAATTCCTCTTTTTAAAGAATCTGGAAGGGCAGAGTACTGGTAGCTAATACCTATAATCCTAGCCACTCTGGACGCTGAGATCTGAGGATCATGGACCAGAGCAGTCAGGAAAGTCCATGATACTCATCTCCAATTAATCATAGAAGTTAGGCTGTGGTTCAAGTGGTAGAGTGCTCACCTTGATCAAAAGAAGTTCTGGGACAGTGTCCAGGCCCAGAGTTCAAACTCCAGGGCCAGAAAAAAAAAAAAAAAGAAAAGCTAGATGGTAGCTAGAAGGTATGCTTTAGTAAGAGCATTAATGTACCCCAAGGAAATGTTCATATTGAATCTAACACTGAACACAGATACATAACATTTATCACATTTATTCGATGTATCCTGCTCCATAAGAGGGACTTTTATTGACAGTAAGCATGCTAGCAATGATAGTTCCCTTCCCTTCTTCCTTTACCCTCAGTTATTTCTTTTCAGCTATCAATTTATCATCTTTCTGCTCTGATGAAGAAGTCATTTTAATTTTTGTTCACATGGGTTCCTCTTTTGGCTATATACATTTACATAGACTATTCTGCCTGGAAACAGATAATTCACAGATGACACTACTGAGACTATTCAGTGCTCAGGGTTAGATAAAGATGAAGAAGTGAATGAAGTATGAATTCATATCTCCCAAGGCAAGGTTAATCAAGTCTCAAGTTGGTAAGTCCTGACTTTAGATCTTAGATCTAATACCCAGAGTCATATAAGTGTATTTTAAATAGTCCAAATGGCAGATAAAGTCAAATAAAATAGAAAATAAGTTAAAAAGTAGTACCTAGACCTTACCTCTTGGTGATTTTTGTTTTTCAGTTCACGAAGCCATTTATGATATTCAGGCATACAGAAGGACCTCTTTACCTGTGTAGTATTTCATGATACAGGAAATAAGGCCATTGTTTCCCAGGCTAGTTACCATATACCCTGGATCTTTAGTTCTAAGTCAGTTTTGCCAGACGGAAGCATACGTGGTCTAGGTGGGAGATATGGTTTGGACATGGATCGCGGTTTATGTGCTGGAGGCTAACTGGATGGCACTTACATCATTGGAGGTTCTGCCATTAGAAGGAATTAGTGTAGCTATTCAGGGTTCATGTTAGTTCTCATGAAAGGGAGTTGTAAACCTGGGCCAACTCTGTAGAGGACCTCTCCTGCCTGTGACCATTCTTCTTTCTTCCGTGCCAGGTTTTGACACAGTCAGGGAGTCTCTCACCAGTGGATAAACTGATGGAGCTGCCCAGTCTTGGGCTTTCAGCTTCTGGAAAGACCTAGCTTTAGGTATTTTGTTATTGTAGACAACAGACTAACAGAGGAATTTGGGGTGCTTTCCCTCTCTTCTCAGAAGAGCCTTATATAGATGGCAAAACACTCTATATAGCACTGAATAATACTCATCTATTGATTTTTGAAAAATATTAATAGTATATTTGAATGATCTTCATTGCAAGTGCTTTAATTTCATTCCTGATGGTCATTTCTGCTGGGGAGTGGCCTTTAACTGCCAGGCAGCAGGGAGCACCGGCCCACTGGTACCTTTGGGGTCTTCTAGGGGGTAGAAGCCAAGGTGAAACTTCCCCAGATACTGACATCTAAGAAGGATACATACTCTTTCTCTTAGCTAGCTTTCAATTTATCTGTTGCCCTTCCTGGTTAAAAGAAAAGGTGACAAAATCTTGAGAATCAGTGCCTTGGACTGCATTACTTTCTGATTAGGAGTTGAAAAACAGCCAACTTCCCTGTGTCTCGAGGGAAACAAGGGAGCCGATGTGTCCGTGAGTCATGGCTCATGTGTTACCTGGCATTGTCCCGTTCACATAGCCATTGACGGTGTACATTAGGGATGATGACTGGCTCCAGCTTTTGCTTTCATCAAAGACAGCAAACAGCAGCACATACTGCTTGTCAAACATCTTCTGAGTCCCATCCTCAGTCAGGGTACCTGGAAAGAAGATCTGTGTTTTCAATAGCACCTCAAATTATAGACTGTCATTAACTTTGCTTGGTAAGCAAAGAATGTAGGGCAAGAGACAAATCAGAAGTTTATCATGTAATAACATCTGTCTTGCCATAATGCATACTTTGGCACCATATAGACTTGGGAAACAGGTTTATGTCGAGTCTCTGTACCAGCATCCAATTCTTCCGGTCTTGCTAGGCTAATACATACGTATTCTGTATGTATATACATACACATACATGTATAAAATGGTAATATGTATACATATTATACATAATATGTTCAGGCAACAACAGTGTCACACTGCAAGCTTAATGCAATTTTCTCATTTGTATATGAAGTAGAGCACTACAGAATTGGCTTTGATCGGGATTACTCCATTCTCATAAGGAAAAAATATGTTGCCAATAGTAAAAATGGAAGAGCCTTTTACAAGTGTAGAGTTTTCCAGTCCCATCACAGTAACTTCTAAATAACTAGGAAAATGAAAAATATACTTTTGTGATGAAGAAACTAATTGGGGAATGTATGTGGGTATGATCTGTGCATATGTGTAGACCGCGAGTACATCACATTATTTTTTATATCAGTTCATTTGGTTCTTGTTTTAATGGAAGATGAGTTGAATTCAACTTGGATTAAAAGGAAATCTAAGACTCGATCCTAAGACACTTCATTAGTACTTCCCATCTAAAGTAGTCAGCTTGATTCTAAGAAAGGAAGCTGGAGTTTCCTTTTGTTCACAAACCCAATTACCAACCCAAAGCTCCACGATGTTAGATATATTAGCCAAAGGCCTCTCAGGAGTCCCTTGACAGAGTATAGAAGGTACCCACCCTCCTAAAGACACTGTCCCTGAGGTTAGTGGTACAGAGCATGGAAACATGCCATCGGAGTACACTCTCAAACAGCATCTTACTCAAAGAGAAGCGCCCATCACCGAGCTGAGGGAAGAATTAGAAGAAAGAGGGAGTCACCGCTTTACAAAATGCCAAGGGTTTTTCCTCTTTGTAAAACAATGGTCTGACAAAGGCACACATCTCCCTCTGCCTGGTGCGGAGCTTCCGCTTTGGGGTAGAGCTCCCTCCCACCACAACATCTGCGTGGTTTCTGAATCTTTTTTAAGTCATTGTTGTTGCTGCTGCTCTTACCTTTCTTACATATGAGCAGAGGTCCGATCAGCCCTGAGTTGAAGTCCCGCGTCAGGTCTCCATAGGAGTAGTAGATGTGTGTCAGGCAGGGAGGGTCGTCCTGGGTGGGCCCGCTGTCCTCGCTGATGGCCCACTGATAGATATACTCGTGGCCCGGGGCCACCGCGTCATCCATCCTCTCCTCAGGGAACGTGTGGTCAGGGTAAGAAGCACCTGAAGAAACAGTAGCCATGAAGAGAACACATGCCTTATAATTTGGGAAGATTCACATGCATCCAATTTTCTGCCCACATACTGATAAAGGCTTTGACACCAGGGCGATCTGAGGAATAACTGTTACCAGTTAACTACTTAATTATTAGCAACTGTTTAAATATAATCAGACTGCAGTCACATTTCATCAGCGAATCAACTTTAGAATATAAGAATTATATTTTTCCCCTATGGCCTCTGAGAAGGCACTTTATACCTATATCATCATTATTTGCAGTTAAATATTTCTTAGGTTGTGTAAGTGACTTTTCCTCCTGAAGTATAACTATTTGCATTCTGCTTACTTTGGTTGCTAAAGTGTGAGGCTCAAGGTAAGATTCTGAGTGCATTCTTCCTAGAATCTCTGATGCCTTCTCAGTACATGGAATAGAACAGGGTATGCGTGGTGAGGACCATGGAGCATGTGCACAGAGGTAATGCTTGCACATGTTAACTGGCATCCTATTTAAGATTCTAGGAGCTAAGACCAAGATCATCAAATCATTGCTCATGCTCATCATTGTTAGTCTTTATTAGTATTAAAGTGGACTAGGTGCCAACTTTGAAAGTCTGGAGATATGTAAAAGTGGGATGTTGAGGTTTGGGAAGAAAGAATTCAAGAGGAAGGAAGGAAGGAAGGAAGGAAGGAAGGAAGGAAGGAAGGAAAGGAGGAAGGAGGGAGGGAAGGGACAGACATAGGAAGAGCACTTGCTTTCTTTCTCGCTAGCTGGGGTGTGGGTTTCTTTCTAGGTAGCTAGGAGTTTGGCTTAAAATGGTAAAGTACCTGTCTAGAAACTTGAGACCCTAAGTTCAAACTTCAGTGCCCCCCCAATTGTTTTAAATTAAAAAAAAACTAGAGATTTGTCATTGTAAATGCAAACTCTTGCATAAAACTGTGTTGGACTGGAGTCTTCTGTGTGCTTGCTTTCTGATGAACTGTTGATGCTATTTTCATCAATTATCCACCTGGCTGCTATAGATATCCAAGTCTTCAACCCTTTTGTTAAGTATAAAGCTTAACATTAAATGTTTTTGTGTCTTTCTTCTTTAAAAAAAAAAAAGACAGTGTGATACTGACAACCAGCATTTACTACCACTCCAATGAATACAAGATTTGAGTGTTAAAGTTATTAGGAGCTGACAGCGCCCAGGCCTAGAGTTCAGCCCCTACGCCCCCCCCCCCCACCCTCCGTAAAAAAAAAATCAGAGCTGAGAAGTGACAAGAGCTTAAACAACTTCCCATGACTTATAACATAATTTCAGTATTTTTTCTAAAGTATATGAGAAGACTCTCTTCAGATAAACAGGGAGCTTTATCTCTGGAAAGTTACAAAAGAGCTTTGGAACAAAGCAGACACAGGACCCATAAGGGTCACCCTCTGGGGTCAAACCTTGTGAATTAACCGGAAGCGCTGCCTCCTCCCTGAGCTTCACCGTTTGAAATGAGCTTGCTGGCCCCTAACCAGGGCTGCCTGCTTTCTGGCCTCATGGGGTTAAAATGAATGTTTCTGGACACCAGGCATCCACTAGTATAGCTATGAAAACATTGCAGGGATTCCGACAGAAGAAAACAACATTCTTTCCTTTGCTTTCACGAATTTTCCAAGTATAAGATGGGACATTATTTTCAGAGCAAACCATAACTTTTTAACCTTCTTCGTTTATTTCTCTGGATAAATATATGCTCATTTTTTTTAGAGGTCAGATTCACTATCAGCTTTATGAGATCATTCAGTTAATGCAGACAGGCTGTGAGGAAAAGCATGGGAACTTGGTGTCGGAGTTGACATGTCTTGTTTTTGTCACCTGTCAAGTGTGTGAACTGGGGAAAGTTTCTTAGTGGCCCTTTTAGCTTCTGTTTATTTCTGTTTATTTTAGCTTCAGTTATTCAGATTATAATCCCAAGTATATAATATAATCATATAGTCCTTCTTCTAGAGATGATATCATTGTTGATGTGTTGGTGAGAAATGGAAAATACATGGGTATAACATACCTGGCACTTAATAAGTGCTGTGGTATCTATGGTAATACATGGTGGTATTTTTAGTCAAGTATTTCTTTGTGCTGATACTTTATAGTGTATATAGCTTTAACCTTTGTGTTTTATTTTGGACGAGATGTACTGAAAATGCTCTTGAGTTCTCTTAACATGTGAGAAAGATGGAAGTTAGTGATGCCTTAGTCCAGGCTGACACCGCCAAGCATTATAGACTGGCGTTTCTCTGCACCCTAAACGGTGAGACATTTCTAGAGCTGGAAGCTTAGGATCAGGTTCCAGCATGGGCAAGTTCTGGAAAGGGAGTTCTCTTCTCATTCTATTTCACAGGGAAGAAAGAGGATGAAAGAAAAATTCTCGGGGTCTCCTTTATTAGGAAACTGACCTATCCTGAAGGGTATACCCTCCATGACAAAGACCCCACCCCCTCATATCATCTCATCAAAGAGTAGGATTTGACATATAAATTTTAGGGAGATTCAAACATCTAGTCTCTTGTAGTAGTGACATATCTACTCTGAAGGTAAAAACCGGTAATAAGATAGCCTACTTGTTCACAACCACCCACAAATTAGCACATTTCCAAGCAAAGAGAAAATAGTTTAGTCTTTATTATTAGTAATTCCTTAATCCTTTAGTTTAGTTCCACAGTCACCACCATCATAATCATTACTGATATGTCAAAGGCACATGTGCCAGGTACAAAGTAAATAAGACACATAATGAGTCTGTGAGGGGAACTCGTGGTTAACAATAGATGCATATGTGATATATTTCACCTCTACATCTTACTCAGTCCAGAGGCCACAATCGGGACACCCTTGATTGTCTGGACAGAGAACCAAACAATATAAACAACTGAGAATTACCCAGCGTCCCCAGTGTGACTGATTTTTTCTAATGATTTAAAATGTGTGAATGTCAGTGGTTTATATAGAGGTTTCTTTGAAAATATAGTGAGTTTAGTCAATGTTGTATATCTAGCTGTTCCAGTTGCCCACACCTCTAATCCTAGCTACCTAGAAAGCTGAGATCTGAGGCTTAACGTTCAAAGTCCAGTCAGACAAATCCAAGATAGATTTATCTACCCAGCAAAAAGTGGAATTGGAGGTGGTCTCCAGTGCAAAAAAGCATAAGCAAAAAGGCCAGTGGGCTGGGAATTTGGCTTCATTGTAGAGCGCTTGCCTAGCACGATGAAGCCTTGGGTTCCATTCCTCAGTACCACATAAACAGAAAAAGGCAAAAGTGGTGCTGTGCTCAAGTGGTAGAGAGCTAGACTTGAGCAAAACAAGCTCAGTGCCCAGGCCCTGGGCACACAGTGTGTGTGTATGTGTGTGTGTGTGTGTGTGTATATAACATGATGTTCTGATATACATATAAATATTGAAAAGGTTACTATAGCCATGAATATCCATATAATTGGCCAAAGTAAATCATTCAGAATTACATATTAGTTAAATGTAAGAAAGTTTTCAAATATTTGAATGGATGATGTTTATTAAGTTTAAAAGGCGAATATTAAAGCATCTTGAAGTGGATTTGTACCTGGGGATATATTCTTTATGTATACAAGTAAGAATTACTATTGATACAGTGATAGGATAATTTTTTTGAGGGGGGCGGTCTAGTCATGGGGCCTGAACTCTGGGCCTGGGTGCTGTCCCTCAGCTCTTCAGCTCAAGGCTAATGCTCTACTACTTGAGCCATAGCACCACTTCTGGCTTTTTTCTTTTTGCTTATGTGGTGCTGAGGAATCGAACCCAGGGCCTCATGCATGCAAGGCAAGCACTCTACCACTGAGCCACCTCCCAGCCCACTGAGAGGATAATTTTATCACGGCTTTTATGCTTTTCACTTCAAATAATTTTATCTTCCAAATGTAACAGACAGGTTATATTTTCAATTTTTCAACCCACTAATGTAAGATATGAAATATAAACAGCTATTTAGTGCAATCATTTGTGTCAATGCAGTTTTGGTGAATCTGATGTTTTGGCTAAGATAAAATAAAGAGTAGAACTCTAAACTAAAAAGAGGAGAAGTGGCCAGGAAAGAATATTGTGCTATAGCACAGAAAGTCCTTGTTCAGTCTAGAATAAGTTCTTTACACAAAAGGAGTCCTTTATTTTAATATTGCTCAATTCTGTTTACTTCCAGCTCAGCCCATAGCTTTCTAATCTGTTTGTTCTTGTCATGATGTCCTAAGTATTTGCCAAGAGGTTGTCAGTACTTTTTAAATGTAAAATGATGCAGTTCCATGAAAACAGCCTTTCTGCTCACTCGTTAGGGTGTTCATTCAGCCCTCCCCTGATACTTATTTATGTGATCAACTCTTTCCTCCCCATTGAAACGACTTAGCCAAGAATGCTTCAGTGCAGAGGTTCAGAATGTTCTTTAGAGACTATAATTCAGGCAGTGGGCAAATGAACATGCTGGTGGTTCTTAAAGTCTTTGATTTTTATTACACAGGGCTCACACGTCTCTTTTGAAGAAAAATTTACATTCTTGTGGTTTATAAGAATTTTTATACTAAGATTACCGTTTCTTATAGGTATTTATTATATATTCAAGGAAGTGTCAATAGAAGCCCAAAATATATAGTAAAAAGGAAAAGAAACCAAAAGAAAAGAAACACAGTCACTTACATTATGTCAATCACTGAAATATTAAAGAAAAATCTAGAAGATTCTTTTTTATAGAGAGTATTTTATAAGACTTAAATGTAAGGAATGGCCTCTAGTGTGGTTTTAAAATCCAGACAATTGGCTTATTAGCAGATGGCTAAATATTATAGAACTAAATTTGTGGTTCAGTACTCATGATACAGATCACATTGTTATAATACAAGAATATAAATCAAAGAATACGATGGCAATTTAAGACAATGAAACAAGCTTTCTAAAGGTAATGACCAAAACAAACTTGAAAATTTTACTGAACAAAGTTTGCTCAAGGGTATGACTTTTCTGTGAATGCTACTTACATATAAACTTTCTAAAATTTAGCTGGCCATTGAGACCTTTTGGGTGATAGAAAAAATTTGCAATGATTAGGCATAGTTACAGATACTTTATTTCCTGACGTTAAAGCATGTTCCTATTAAATACATTTCTAAATGAATTTTAAGTACTGTTGCAAGTCAAAATTTACCTATTTCATCAGAATCAGTAACCCACCTGTTTGCTTTCTAGTACTGTGGTTCTCTAACCTATCATATTTAACTCTCTATACTTAGCTTGGGAGCTAATTAATTTATGCCACAAAAATAGCTTAAACTGTGGAGGGAGACTATTGGTGAGGAGGATGTGTATTACACATGGAAAAGGAGATGCATGTTTATGGGAATGTGCATGTGTGTGTGTACACGTGTGTGTGTGTACACGTGTGTGTGTGTGCTGGTCCTCGGGCTTGAACTCAGGCCTGTGCACTGTCCCTGACCTTTGTGCTCATGGCTAGCACTCTTGCCAGTTGAGCCACATCTCTACTTTTGTTTTTTTGGTGGTTAATTGAAGATAGAAACCTCACTGCTTTTTCTGCTCAGACTGGCTTCAAACCATGATCCTCAGCTCTCAGCTTCCTGGGTATCTAAGATTATATAGACCTGAACCACCAGTGCCCAGCTGGAAAAGGAGGAATTTTTTAAAGGAACAATATATAATAAAATGAATAGAAAACTAGTCATTTTCTGAAATGTAGACTAGATTTCCAGGATAAAATTTTACTTTCTTTATTTGTGAGACCCGAAGCACTACAATGCACCATTAAGAAATCACAAATGAAAAAAGAAAAAATGGAGGCGGGGGGGGGGCATGGTTCAAATGATAGGAGGAGAAAAAAACCCTCATTTGATCGCCAAAAGAAGAAAAAGATGTAACAAATTGAAGAGGTAGCTGCATCTTAAGCTTTTTTTTTTTTAAGATTGCCAACATAGGGCTGAGTAAACATTCCGGGAAGAGGAATGATGTGGCAAGGTTCTTTCCTGGTGCAAACAGCCTAGCGAGGGCGCAAAGTCCGCCACGGTCTCCTCCTCCCATATTTGAAGTGGATCCTGCAAGGGACACTGACATTGGGAGATGTTCCCTTCCTGCTTGCATTGCGGAGCAATTTGCTAATGCCGTTGCCTGGAAACCTCCTGAGCAAGCTAAGCGCTAAGCAGCTGCTCATCATGTCACGGCGTGACATGTGTGAAGTTAGGAATGTAGAAGACACACCTGAAGTCTTGTCAGATTAAATACTGAAGATAGATGACATTCCAGTTATTTTCCCCACGGGGTGTGTGTGTGTGTGTGTGTGTGTGTGTGTGTGTGTGTGTGTGTGTGTGTGTGTGCGCGCGCGCGCATGTGTGTTACTCATCATTTCATACCTGCTAGACAGGTGCTCTACCACTGGAGTCACACCCCCAGTGCTCTTTTGCTTTGTTTTGTTGTTGTTTTTTGGTCGGTCATGGGGGCTGAATGCTGGGCCTGGGCGCTGTCCCTCAGCTCTTCAGCTTAAGGCTAGCACCCTATCACTTGAACCACAGCACCACTTCCAACTTTTTTCTTCTTATGTGGTGCTGAGGAATCAAACCCAGGGCCTCATGCATGCGAGGCAAGCACTCTACCACTGAGCCAACTTCCAGCCCATGCTTTAATTGTTTTTCAGGCAGAGTTTCATATTTTTGCTCAAGGCTGCCTTCAGGCTCCAAGATCCTGTCACCTATAGTCTTTTCTATAGGTGGCAGCAGAGGCATATACCACCGTGCCCAGCATAGACATTTTACATTTCTTGAGCATTAAGTTTAGCGAAGGCAAATACGCCTGGAGAAGGGACTTCATTGACCTGTTGCTCACTTAGGCCTTAGTAGTATTGAGTGTGACAATAATTTATATAGGAAATAATATGTGTGAGAATGACTTTCTGACTCACAAATTATCTGGTAAATGTTAAACTATTTGAACACATTTTGATAGAAGAATCTTCTCCACTGTATAAGCTAAAATTTATTGGATGCTTATTATATGCTAGGCATTTTTCTGAGGTTTCATGATAATAAACCTGTATAAGAGTTCTGTATGATTATTCTTCTAGTTTCAAAGGTGAGAGAATCAAGACACAGAGAGGTGGAATAACTTCCCAAAAGTGATGAAGCTAAGGGTCAAGATAAGATTTCCACTGGATAGTCTAGTCTATAAGACTACACTATAAACTAGTTTGCTACTGCTTCACATATATGATGGTTGGAATATATGAGAGAAGGGAAGGTTATCTGTGAAACATGAGAAGTCTGACTTGGTTTTAAAGTGTTCTTATTCTAACAGTTACAAAATTACACTATAATAATTGTTGCACTATAGACTATTACAACAACTGCCCTTATTTCAACAACTGGTACAATTATTGTTTATAGCAGTCCTTGATAGAACTTAACTCTGAATACTGTAATCAGAACAGCAGGATAATCAGAACAATGTAAACAAAGCCTCTTACTATCCCATGGCTGATACAGTCACCTGCATTAATTACCATTATCTTCATGGTCATTGCTATCATTATCATCATGTAGTCTCTGTTATTTATGGGAGGCTTATCAAGTCATAGGAAGCATGAGATCTCCTGAATGATCTCATTTAATCCTCAAAACTATCTTGAGGAGTGAGTATAGCCACTCCCATTTTATAAAGAGAACTAAGATTAAGAGATGTTAAAGTCATAGATTCAGGGGCTGGGAAGGTGGCTCGGTGGTAGAGAGCTTGTGTTGCATGCATGAGGCCCTGGGTTTGATTCCTCATAAGCACCACATAAGCAGAAAGAAAGCTGGAAGTGGTGCTGTGACTCAAGTAGTAGAGTGCTAGCCTAGAGAGCTGAAGAGCTGAGGGACAGCGCCCAGGCCCAGAGTTCAGGCCCCACAACCGACCAAAAAAAAAAAGTCATAGATTCAGAAGCTATAATGCTAGAATTTGAACCTAAGTTTTTCTTTAAAGCTAAGTCTTTCTTTAAAGCTATGTTCTTAACTACCTCACTATGTCCAAAATTCCAGAACTATGTCTAGTACCATCACCATCAAATGCCACTTACTGACCGTCATTATGTGCCAAACCAACCCTGTCAGGCTAGTCAAATATCACTGTGGGTTCAATTCAGCTAGCTGCCTGCTGCTGTAAACAAAGTTTTATTGGAACATAACCTTATACATTCGTTTACTTATTCACCCTGGCTGCTTTTATGCTAATAGACAGAGTTAAGTAGTTGCCATGAGATTCTATTACCTGCTAAGCAATTTACTAGTAGCCTTTTTTTTTTTTTTTTGCCGGTTGTGGGGTTTGAACTCTGGGCCTGGGCGCTGTCCCTCAGCTCTTCAGCTTAAGGCGAGCACACTACCACTTGAGCTACAGCGCCATTTCCAGTTTTCGGGTGGTTTATTGGAGATAGGAGACTCAGGGTCTTTCCTGTCCGGCTGGCTTTGAACCACAATCCTCAGATCTCAGCCTCCTGAGTAGCTAGGATTACAGATGTGAGCCACTGGCGCCCAGCTATGGTAGCCTTTTTTTTAACAGAAACTTTTGCTGACCCTTGCCTTAAACCTTCTTAAAATATAGTATTATTATTCTAAACTTAAAGGTGAACATATTAGACTTTAGAGAGATCAGGTAATTTGCCACTCAAATATTAAGATACATGAAATGTAACAAAACCTGAAATCTAGATGATTCCAAATGCCCTTTTTCATGTCTGATACTTACAAAGGCAATGATATACATAAGAACAATGGGTAGAAAGGAGAGTCTCTGACAACATGAGACCAGCAGTTATCAGTCTGTGACAATGGAATCCAAGAGTTGTACATTTTCTCTTGCTGGAGGGGCAACACATCCCTCTTACCTTCTGAGAGTTTACTGTATCTAATTCCTTGAGGGTGGATGCTTACAGGCTTGTCAGCCTTGTTTTTGAAGTGAACTTTCAAGGTATCTCCAACTTCAGCATATAAAGTAGGCCCAAGAAGTCCTATGGAACAAAAATTTTAAGTCAACGGTGTTTAGGATCATCAAAGACAGGGCTGTTAAGAAATAAGAGTATTCAAGAAACCCCTAAAGTGATTGCTGTCATTCTTCCTGGTCCTAAAGGTGACCTGCTTCTCTGAAGTCTAGAAGACTTTGCCAACTCTAGCTGCATTATGGTAATCCTATTTTTAAAAAATAGGAGGATAAAATCTTTGGCCTAAACTCAAAGCAATTCAAGAGTAAAAGAAATAGTTCTAACCAAAAACAACCCACCGTAATCACTGTATTTTCTTTTTTAAAAAAAAGACTATTATCCATATTGTCAAAAGAAGAGATCATTTTCAATTATGCAGAAGATGTGAGGGACTGGTTACCTTAGATTTTTCCGAAGTGGGAACCTCAGAGACCTCAGTGAAGTAAAAGAGCAAGTCACATAGATCTCTAGTCCGGGGGGGGGGTTCAAAATCCCTTAACTAGAAGTGAGCTTAATGAATCTAAAGAAAATAACAAGCAGGAAGAAGGAGACAAGAGAGAGATGTGAAGGGCGAGTTTACCCAGTCTCTGTGAAAGACTTTGGATTTTCTTCCAAAAACAGTGGCAAATTGCTGGATCTTTGTGCAAATGAGGTATGGTTTGACATGTGTACTCCTCTGAGGAAAGAAGTCTATGTAGTGACCATAGACTGTGTATAGTCTGTGTAGTGACTCTAGACTGTGTATAGTCTCTGTAGTGAACTGAGTAAAAGCAGAGATCTGATAGTGTAGGACAGAGATGGTGATTTATTGGGTCAGCATGTGTAGCTATGAAAAGATGAGAGTGATAGGATTTCTGGACACATTTGAAAGTAAAGCCAACAGGAACTTGTGATGAGTCACACAGGGCACCTGAAAGAGGAAAGCTAAGGATGACTTCAAGATATCTGATTTGAGAAGCTGGTAAAAAAATCAGTTACATGACAGGGAACAAGCCGGGAGCAGGCTAAGTAAGCAGATATCCGGAGAAAGATTCTACTTGCTACGTGCCAAACACTGTGCTGGACTACAAAGAGTTCCTCTGCCAGGAGCTCTCAAAGCTAGTCTGGACATAGACATACACTGCAGCAGCTCCCAGGGCAATATTGAACAGAAACTAAGGGAGCAGACGGGATACAGAAACAAATGTGTCAGGGGAGTTAACTGAAAAGTTTATATCTGAGTCCAGGTTTTGAAGAATCACACACTAGAAATCCTCAAAATGTAGTCCGTGAGGTCTCCATTTCAGAATAGCTTAGAAGAAAGTTTCCCAGTTACCACAACATCCCCAGATCTGAGATGGACCTCGTGAATCTGTACTTCAATGCTTGCTCACTCCCATGTGATTCTGCGTCCATGAATGCTTGGAGATCTATCACCAAAGCCCCACCTCAGACAAATGACAGGGATCAGCTGCTCTGACTTCCAAGCTATTCGTGGCCGGGGGGGGGGGGGGGGGGGGAAGGGGGGAGGAAGTTACCATGGTTATGGAGTTCCACCATTAATTGTTTGCGGTGGTGATAATTCAGACAGGACTTCCACCTGAGCACTATAAAACCTTAAGTTAATTCTGAAAATAATTTTAAGATAGATATTAAGATCCTCCTATTACAGCTGAGAAAGCTGAGCTTCAGAAAATTTAAATATCTTGTCCAGGCTCACAAAAATAATAAGAGGGAAAAGTCATAATTTAAACTTATATCTTTATATCTGTGTGACTCTTAGAGAACTTTAAGCCATTTCATTATATCACACCCTTCACTTTGTATTCATTCATTTAAAAAAATATATTGATTGCCAGACTCTTGTGGCTCATGCTTATAATCCTAGCTACTCAGGAGGCTAAGATCTGAGGAATATCATTTGAAGCCGTCCCAGTCAGGAAAGTCCTTTAGTCTCCAATTATGCACCAGAAAAGCAGGAAGTGGAGCTGTGGCTCAAATGCTAGAGCACTAGCCTTGAGCAAAAAAGCTTTGAATTCGAGCTTCAGGACTGGCACACAAAATAATGACTGCTCACCATTGTCCTAGGTGTCATAATTTCAGTGGTAGATAAGCATAAAATAGATAGACTCCCAAAATGTATCCAATAGAGTTTATAGCTAGTAGGAAAGCCAGATTTTAACAAATGTTCATATAAATAGTTAATTTAAAACTGTGGTGTTATGAAAGGGAAGTCTAAACTGCTGGGAAGAGAATTTGGTAGAGGGATCTAATTTAACCTTGGAGCCAGGAAGAGTGTGAGAGTAAGGAAAACATGCTCCGTAGGTAGTGATGCTTTCCCTGAGATCAAAGGCACAGAGGCAAAGAGATGGAGAGTGAGATTAGTGTGTACAAAGACCCTGAGATTTCAGGAAACTCGGCCTGTTCAGATAATAGCTAGATGGCCATAAAAGATCTTCATAGTAAGAAAAAGGGAAAAGGCAGAGCTGAAGTCATAAACTGAGGCCCAATACTTCAAGCCTTTTTAGAGTTTTGTCTTTAATAATAATCAGAGGCCACTGAGGTTTTCAGGAAGGTGTAGATTTTTATTTTCACATCTCTAGCTGTGTTTGAGAAGAGTGTTCTTAGGAGAATCCAGAGTGTCTGGGAGAGAAGGCTGTTTGAGAGATGTTGGAAAGATGGAGGTTATGGTGGTAGAGATGATGAGGAAAGAATATATTAGATATTTAGGAGGAATTTTCAGGACTTCCTAATGGTTTAGCTATGAAGTAGAAAGTGAGGAAGACCAAGTTGTTATGGACAGCCAGTGAGATTCTAGTTCTGGGTACCAGGTATGTCATAGGGCTGTTCCCTGCAGCAGAAGATTGTGTGTGAAGATTTGGTTTGGTGGATGTAGTAAACAAAGTAATGTCCCCTCCCCTCAGATAAGTCCATGTTTTAATACCTAGGATCCATGAATATACAGGACAGAATATGCAATAGGACTCTTGCACATGTGATCAAATTAAAGATCTTGAGGGATGGAGATTTTTCTGGGTTATCAGATAGGACCAGTGTAACCACAAGAGGCCCTTAAGAGAGATGTAAGAGAAATTTAGAAAGAGATTAGATGATGGCTTTATGATGGAAGGGGCTTTGAGCCCATGAATATAGACAGCTTCTAGGAAACAAAACGGGCAAGGAAACACTTTTCCTCTTCAACCTCCAGAAGTAACACAGCTTTGCCAACACCTTGATTTCAACCCAGCACAACTCTTTTTAAACTTGCCACCTGTAGAACTATAACAATAATGGGATAAACAAGTGTGTGTTGTTTTAAGGCGCTACATTTTTGGGAATTGGCTATAGCAGCAAGACTAACCAAAATCTCAAGAGAAGAAGCCCTGTTTCTTACACCTACCCTCCTAGCTACCGTTATCTGTTATTATTTTTTTCTTAACTAAACTCCTTGTTGTAGTGTTTCATACCTTCTTGTGCCTAAAGCCTCTTGTTTGTTTATTTTGATGTTAGCTCTGCACAGGACCATGAAGGCCATTAGAGGTGGTTAAGAAAACCTGGGAGGTGTGTATGGGGCCAAGATGGTTTGCCCATGGTCAATCTATATGACTCAGTGGAACCACAACACAGGTCTTTAAATCCTCGAGACACACCTTTCTCCATTACCTCCCACGAAGCACGTTCAAACCCTCATCTTCCCAGAATAATCCAGATGTTTGGAGCCCTGACCCTATCTGATGATACTGCCCAATCTTGAGTCTAGATGCTGCTTTCTATCTTGGTTCTCATGGAAACTCTGCCTGGGTCGCCCGGGAGCCAAGTACGCAGTGACAGTGCTGTCACATGATACGCTGCATTTGTTGGCGTGAGTCCTTGCTTGGTTGATTTGTGAGTTGGCATTGTATGAGTGCGAAGGCAGATGCCAGGAATAAGCCTCATAAATCATTAACCTAATGAGACTTCATGTTTCAATGGACATTGGCGTGTTTATTCAGAAACAAGGAAAGACTAAGTGCAAAATGTATACTATATTTCAATATATTATATATGTTGATATATGATATATTTTAAATTTTATAAATGCAAGTCAAATATTTTAGCATGTAGGCAAACACATGAGTGATATTTTTTTGAATTGCTCTTTTGCCTCTCCATTAACCATATTTCCTTACCCCTTTGCAGCCTTCTTCTTGGTGAAGAAGTGAAAATAAGTAGGTCATGTCCCAGACCCAATAAAAAGCAAGACCTGTCTCAAAAATAACCAAACTGAAGAGCATGCCTAGCCAGCATGAAGGCTTAAGCTCAAATCCTACTACCACCAAAACCAAGATCATTAGACTTCTTAAAGCACAAAATAGAACTCTTGAAAATGAGTCTGGTCCCTCCATCTATCCAGATGTCCATAAACCCTATTGGACAAGCATCTTCAGAATTCTGCCTGGCAGCCCAGCCCCTACCTGCACACACAGTAACATCTGGGCTCATGCTACTAAAGGGAGGTACCATGACTTGTTCAGGACCTCAGCTAGAACCATATGTAGCAGGTAGCTGGAACAGCAAATAGGTCAAAGATACAAGTGACAAGGATTAGGCTGGGGAACAGGAGTTACCATGAAGTTAATGACAGTGGTTGCATACAGCTGTTTTTGTTGTTGTTGCAATCAAATCTGAGGCTTTGCTTTCAGAGAAGCCCTGCCTCCTTATCTTAACTCCAACCAGGGATGAACAGGATCCTGTACTCTATTTCAGAGGAGTTCAAGAGAAGGCCACACAGAAATGCATGTTAGAATTCCTTAGTCCTCCTAGAACAAATACATCCCAGAGTCTACAGCCGCTGACAGAAAGGTAATGATTGAAGTGACAAGGGCTTAAGCATAAATCGCAGGCTGTTTACATCAACTCTCAAGGTCTCTTTCTGATTAATACGGTTAACTCGGGAATTCACCACTGAAGTTCATCCTCTGAAAGGGTTTCCCTTACAATACTTTCCTCTTCAAAAGCTACCAGTGCTTCCTTGTTGTTGCTTAAAAGGGTCCAGACTTGCATTGGGCCTTTCTGCCCCAGTGACACTCAGAACAATGTCTTCCCTAGCACAGGCATAACATTTGGTTAACTTGACTGAAGCCATAGGTAGCTTCAACCACCTACCCTAGGCCTAAGGAACATGCTTGCTAGATCATTCCCCACTTTACCCACTTACGATTTAATCGAATCATATTTAAAATTCTACTGTACATGCTAAGCTTGGAGTTTCAGCATTAAAATGAATAAACTCTGTGGTAGAGAGAAGACTCTTCAACTTTCTGTCCACAACTACAAATGTAATTTCACGGACAACCTTACTGTCCTCCCCTGACCCACAATAAAAGTAGGAACTCTTTGTTTATCTACCACTAACTTAGCTCAAGCTTTGAGTGCCTTTGAATTCCAAGGTCCCTCACTCCCTTGCAGAACTACCCTGTTTCTCATCCCAGTTTTTGAAAAGAATTGTGCATAATTCTGACTGCTTCTGTTTCCCCATTTCCATTCTCTCTTTAACCCTTGCCATGTGATGGTCCTTACTACTCCCTGACCAAAGGCAGCAAAGCATTTTTGGTCCCCCTGTGAATAGTTCTTGGTGATGCTTGACCCTTGATTCCAGGACACCGCATTCCCTTGCTTCCCCTGTTCTTTCTGGGCAAACTTTCTCAAGCTCCTTGGTGACCTTTTCCTTCTTTGCATATACTTTGGACCTTGCTCCTTCGAGCTCTGTCTACACTTGTGTATTCTCACCCTCTCTTGAAGCAGCATTTACCACCTTAATGATGGTGTCTCCCAACTTTGATATCTAGTTCAAATCTTGCTCCTAAAAAACAAACTTGCATATCTGTCTGTGCAGTTGTCAGTATTACACAGGCCCTGCACAGACACCTTGAACTCCAAATCTGAGCTCATTAGCTTCCTTCATAAGGCTTCTCTTTTTCCTAAATTTTCCTTCCATTCTTCTGTTTAAAACCTATGAAGACCATCATTATTCCTCTCGTATTCATTATCAGCATCCTGCTTAGTTGATTTTAGTTTCTAAATATCTTTGGACACTCTTCTTATCTAGACTGACACCAAAATGCTCAAACTAGTTTCTTGGGCTCTGGACTTGTCTATCTAAAGAAGAAATATTAGTCTCTCCCTCTTGCTTAACTCCTTTCAATGAGTCCTGACTTCCCTCAAGAAAAGCCCTAACCACGCAGTTCCCTTATCTGGTTGTGTCCCTCCTCTAGTTGTATCACTTGCTAGTTCTGGTTTGTGTGATTGTTGCCCCCCTCCCCCTGGCTGATCCTGTCATAGTCCCCTTAATGCACCATACACGCTCACCTCCTAGCCTGTATATACTGTGTCTTGGACCTAAATGCATCTTTAGAAAAGGGGACTAAGTATAAGAAAGAGGAATAGAGGAATCGGCAGGCAAACACAGGCACTGACATTTTTATCAGAGCAACTGCAAGGGACTCAATCATATTTGAGCACCTTAGGGAGAGATGTAATAAGAGGAAATGTAGAGAATGATGTAGACTCCTCACCCAGGAAATCAGTAGCGAAGAAAAGGTGAAAAAGCAAGAGGAAATAGATTTGTTTTTCTTTATCTAGTTAGGTATTTGTCTGAGCATGGTTTTGTTTTGCTTTGTTCTTATTGATTTTTGACTGGAATGATGACTCAGTCCAAGAAGGATTACAGATTAACAGACATGAGAGGAGGGACAGACTGTGATGAGTAGGAAAGAGGCAGAGAGAGAGTCCAGGAACTCTGACAGACACTCGCCTGATTTGGAGAAGGACGGATGAACTGTGGGTAGGAGGATCCAATGAGAAGAGGCCCTCCCATCATTCCTGTGAAAATGCGTCCATATTTAAGATTCTAAAACCCTAGTCAACCTAGCCTCCTTGATTAAAGATGACAGGAAGAAAAATGAAGATTTTCTTTTAAAAAAATTGCTTGGTGGGTTCATACGTAATTATTTAAAACAATATTTAAATGCATATATATTCAAAGGAAAATAGATAAATGACAATACACAGAGAATAGACAATGGCTGAAGGAATACATACACATTGAGATCCACAATACTGTAAGATATATGATCATTCTGTGGATCAAATGATCAAGAAGACATTCTGTTAAGCACATCTGTGCTTCTTTTTTGGTCCTGGGGCTTGAACTCTGGGCTTGGACACTGTCCCTGGGCTCTTCAGCTCAAGGCGAGCGCTCTACCGCTTGAGCCATAGCGCCACTTCCGGTTTTTCTAGTCTCACAGACTTTCCTGCCCGGGCTGGCTTTGAACCGGGATCCTTAGATCTCAGCCTCCTGAGTAGCTAGGATTACAGGCGTGAGCCACCATCGCCTAGCTTATCTGTGCTTCTTCCTTATCTAGACTACTGAATATTATTACAATTGCATTCTGTGTCTGTTTTTGACAACGGGTAAACATAGATGGCTTCATGGATATTGTGACTTGTGAAATGTCCCAGGACTCCAGCTCAGAAGGGCTGCTGTCTGGCTTAATCCTTGTGCACCAAGCCCACATATTATATAGCCAGTATCATTTGAAAACAACAGTTTTACAAAATGGCACTAAGTGGGTATTTAGATACAAATAAGTAGCACATTATCTAAAGAAAGTTATCATTTAAAAGTAAAAAATGTTTCAGGCTTACCTGAAATGCTTGATTGTGGTTTTTCCTTCTTAAAATATGCCTCATACTCTCTATAGACGATTTTTTTAAAGGATGTTGTAGAAGAATTCAAACTGGAAACAAAACACAAAAATATGAAAGATAAATATGGCAGCTACTCAGGTTACAAAAAGGTCAACCTTATACTAAGATATTTAATAAAATAATAGTATTTTATTATATTTTAGAAACCCCAAGTTTTATATAAAGACAATGAAATAATTATTGATATCTTCAAAAATAGTCTGTTGTGATAAGCAATTGTTTTCCTCACAAATTCAGCTGTTCTAGCATTTTATCAGGATAAATTTTCTAAAAAGGAAATTAAAATCATCATGTGAACTCAGACTCTAGGTTTAGATTAACTGTACAAGTGATAGTCAGGTGCTAGTGGTTCACAATTACAATTCTAGCTACTCAGGAGGCTGAGATCTGAGGATTGAGGTCGGAAGGCAGGTGGAACAAAAAAAAAATCTATGATATTCATATCTCCAGTAAAAAAGCCAGAAATAGAGATATGGTTCATGTGGTGTGGTGGTAGTCTTGAGTGGAAAAATACAAGCCAAGAGTGGGTTCAAGCCCCGGTACCAGCACATGCGCGCAACAAAGTTTGAAACATTATAAAATTATTTATAAGTTAATATTTGAGCTCTTTTCAAACTAGCCAATCAAATCTAGGTTAATTTTTTTCTATATCTTAGAATACAATTTTAATTTACTGAGAAACCTTGTGAATTGGCCCTATTGCTAGTTGAGAAGATAGGGGTGCATAACAGGGGCATAAGGGATTCATATGGGAAGCAAATAAATGCAAGTGCCATCTTAGAAAACTTAAATAATCTTTTCTTTTTGGAGGTGCTGAGTTTGAAATCAGAACCTCATAATTGCTAGGCCAATGCTCTACCACTTGAGCCACGGAGCCTTAGCTCTGCTTTATGCTGCTTGCTTTGCTGTTGTTTTGGAGATAGAGCCTGGTGAGTTTTTCTGCCTAGGACTAGCCTCAAACTGTGATTCTCCAAATCTCAGCCTGCTGAGTAGCCAGACTTATAGGCATAGGCCACTGGCACCCAGCTACAATAACCTCTAGATTAAAAGTAGAGACAAGAGACAAAAAGATTAAACGATTTCCTCTCCTTTATCCTGACCCAGATAAGAACCGTTTTACAGTATTCTTTACTTTTAGGTTGAATGGAGTCCTCAATTGTAACAACTATGGTACCAAATTTCACAGAACAGTGGAGGCCTTTAGGAGAGAACTTCCTCCAGCTAAGTTCTCTTGTCCATTACGTACCCAACTTTTCTTCCTTTTCAGGTAAAAACCAACCAAGATCATATACTGTTATTATAATTCTTTTTAGAACTGGTCCCTAACTTGGGATCCTTTGACCTATACTTATCCATTTTATTTCCATAAGCATAGCAAGTTAAAGAGAAGCCAACAACTAAATGTTTATTTTACTCACAAGTAGGCAAGATGAATATAATCAAGAATGTATCTTTAAGGTTCTGGGGTGAAATGATATAACACCTGCCTAACAAGTGCATGGCCCTGACCTCAAATAAACAAGAAGTTCCAAAGGCATGGCTGAAGTGGTTGGACACGACTAACAAGCTTATGAAGTCTTGAGTTCAAACCCTAGTAGCACCAAAACAAAAAACAAAGAATGCTCTTTTCTGAGTATTGGTGTAACTTAGATGATCACGTTAAGGTGAAATATATAGAATAATCTTGTTAAAGGAAGGATTTATTATAAAAGTAAAATGGTATGTAATTCCCTTCAAGATAGTTTAGTAACAAAAAGTTTTCAAAAGGTTAATGTAATAAACTAAAAGCCTTTCTACTGTTACATTATTGCTTGGCAGATTGCTGTGGTTTTGTAACTGGAAAAGAGGAACACATCTTTCACAATCCTCTAAACTTTATGCTAAGCTTTAAAAAAAATGAGTCACACTAGGAGGTTTACTATTTGAAATAAAACACGTAACTGGAAATATTGAATAAATCTTAAGAATTTCTGAGAATCCTTCCTTGTCATTTTTCAACTATAAAAATGATGATTGTAGTTGATTAAGTTTTCACTTTTTTTTTCTTCCGTTGGTCCTGGGGCTTGAACTCTGGGCTTGGGCACTGTCTCTACGCTCTTCAGCTCAAGGCTAGTGCTCTACCACTTGATCCACACCGCCACTTCTGGTTTTCTGTGGTTTTATTGGAGATAAGAGTCTCATGGACTTTCCTGCCCAGGCTGGCTTTGAACCTCAATCCTCAGATCTCAGTCTCCTGAGTAGCTAGGATTATAGGCGTGAGCCACGGGCACCCGGCTTAAGTTTTCACATTTTTTGAGTAACATATACCATTTAATAGTAACCTTACCAAAACACCCAGGATAAATTGTATTCTAAGAAGTGGTTTAAAGTGAGAAAAACTGAGGTCACATTAAACATCCACAAATTAGTCAAATATGAAACAGATAAAAGACAAAGTTGCAAGTATTGCATTTCCGTGGTGTTATAAGAAAGTAACACAATAATGGAAACAATTGTTCAATTATCTGCTTATAATAAAGTACAAACTGCACCTCTTTCCTTTTAAATGATGAAAGCTGCATAGACCATAAAATAAGTAAGAGCTAGAAATTTCATGAAAAATATGAGACCACTTAAGCAGTAGTTTGCAGGAAGACTCAGTAGGGAACTAGAGCTGAGTACTTCTTTTGAACCTATCAATATATCATGACAATTATCAGCCACACTAAACAAATTATACTACAGAAACCCCAAAATTTTGTGCAGAAAGACGTATCTAACCCATCGACCCGAATCTTCTCTCCCCTACAGCTTCCAGGCAAAAGACCGTTTCCACGGGTTAATTGTGTTCATGATACTTTATAAACTGCGCTTACTTGAGTGGTATGAAAGAGAAGTAGGGGGAGAGAGGGAGGAAGGAAGGGGGGAGAGAGGGAGGGAGGGAGAG